CAAACACACTGTGGCTAACGAGGGGCCAACATAACAACAAGGCTCCTTTATTTAATGCCTCCTGATGACAGAAGCAGTTGCTGTGGCCCCTGCTTCTTTCAGCACCCAAACTGAAATGCTGAATGGCGTTGGATGCTTTGAACACCCAAGGGCCAAGCAAGGTCAGCCAGTGATTTAAATACAAATGTTTCTGACAAGCTAACGGCACTGGTTTGTTGAGGAGTCAAAAAGAATAATTTAAAAAAAAAAAATCCTACCCTTATCAAACTGTTCAGACTGACTCATTTCTGGCTGAGAAAGCATAGTCACTAATTATTGCAGGGTAATGTGCGTATGCACCTTCCAAAAACTGATATGGCTGCTGAATTTCACATCCTACTCATCATCTCCCAGCAGATTCCTCAGTACTTGCTTAAAAAAAAACCTTCCTGAGCTGCATATGAATGATGTAAATGTTAAGACAATGATTATTTAAAACCAGAATGAGATTTAATTTAGCTGCTCCTTTTTAAGGATGCCAAGGCAAGAATTATTATGACCACCCTTAAGAAGGCAGACAGACAAGAAAAAGTGGCTGTGGCTGAATGAGGTTACACAGTAACTCATAGAGTCTGGAAATAATTGTGTTACCCTTCATATGGCAATGATCATCCTTTTCCCCCCTTTACTTCTTTCCATCTGTTTAGGGAAGGGAGGTTTTTAAAAGAAATCCTTTGTGAGGGGTCCCTTCACCTCTCTGGATACAATTTCTGCACACCAGATGTCAGGACCCCTGACCCCTCCTCTGTGCCTCCCAGCAGTGTGTCCTAAACATTTAAGACAGTATTTTCAGAAACACTGTTTTTAAATTAATTTTGAACATTTTGAGTCATATTAGACAAGATTTTTTTTTTTTTTTCCCAGCCTACACAACTCAAATTGCAGACTTCAGATGCTGGCATATTGTTTCTCCCACATCTTGCTGTTCTTTCCCAATAATCCACTGATAATGGAATGGGTTACTTATTTTTCTACTCCTGTAAGACAACATAATTTACACCATTTGAGATGCAAATGTTGGAAAAATGTCTTCTATTTCAGTGTTCCCTGTATTTTTTTTTTCTTTGTATAGAATAAACTTGGACTGTTTTTTAAGAAATACTCTTTAAGCTGGATAGATTATATAGATGCCTTACCGTTTTTTTCTGATTCAGAAAGTAGAACCACTGCATTGTGGTGCATGAGTTTAAAGAAGGAATTAAGACTTTTGAAGGGTAGCTACTATTTCTAATAATGTGGAGAGCCAGGTTTGTACCAGAATTTGTGAATGTCTTCTCACAAGCTACCATGCTACTCTTTTTTATAAAATATACCTGGCTTTGGCTGACATTGTTCTCCTAGTTTAAATTTAAATGACCCATTTACTACAGGCCTTGGTGGAGGCAAAGTTTAACCTCCAACAGTAAAACTTGAATGCACCTGAAAACTCATAACTTAATATAAATGTCCCCTATATCCTGCATATCAACAGCACCTTCCTTCATCTTTTTTTTCGCTCCTCTCTTTCTTGCTACCAATTTCTTGTACCTCTAATTTTTTATTTTTTTTTTTTAATTTTCATACTTAATTAAGTACCCTATCTCACCTGAGTAGTGAGCACAGTAGTGGTACCATATTATGTAATTACTCCTTGCTTGTTTTGGTATTTTTTTCCTCTCCTTTTTTAGAGATGATGCTTTTATTCATCTTATGCTTTTCTTTAATTTGCTTAAATTGCATGTGTCTTAGTTTGCAATTTCCAAGTTACAAAGGAAATAACCTGCCAAGGGTGGCAGCTGACCCTGTTCCCAGAATCCTGACAAGGTGACACACCAGGAGAGGTGACATGCGGAGATAAAAACATCTATTGAGAGCAAGGCAGAAACTTCAAGCCAGGTTCCCTGTGATTTAATCCAAAGCCTTTCACTGGTCCAAAAAGTGACTTTTAAGGAAGATTAAAACATGTATAGTAAGACTTGACCAGTCCCATGTGAAAGCTTCGGCCCTGCCATCTTTTGCAGTAAATGTACTCCAAGCTATTTAAAATACATATATGTGAACACTGTGTGTGTGACTGAGAACCTGAGAAGTCACCTCAGGTCCTGGCATTGCAGGAATAAAAACTGTATCCAGATAAGGCAGGGAAAAGCAGCCTGAAAGCTGAAAATGGATCTGTATAAACATGACATACATTGTGAGTTGCAGAAATCTGCATGAATATTTTCTTCCACAAGGTGCTCCAGGTATTTGACTTTTAGTACTTCGGCTCCTCTCTCAATTTTAGAATTTTCCCACACAAGTTGACAGCACATGAAAAATGAACACAACTTTATTTGCTAGATTTGGAACTTATTAAATGCGTATATTAAATGTTAGCAGAATGTTTAAAAAATTTATTCTGACATTAGTGTATCATATATATCAGCAACATACATAGCAGACAAAAACGCCACTCAGATTACACAACAGTACAAGTTAAACAAGTGGTACATGTAGAATAGTCAGAAACTCCATCTATTTTCACTCAGTTCTGTTGCCTCAAATTGACAGCACTACATAAAAAAGTAAAAGCAAAGTAAAAAAAATTTCTAGAAAAAATATGATAGTGTCTCATAGTAGCATTCTTCTTTTGCAGTCCTTTGCTTAGAACATACCACACTAAACCTTCCCAAGGTAAACAACCTGAATTTTAACTGCAAAAACAACAAAAAAAAATCCCTGATTGTATTGCACCTGAAAGGTCAATTTTGTTTTGTGTAACTAGTTCTAACAAGGCAGTCTATTGTTGCTTAAATTACAGTAATTGCAACACAGAACTTTATTCATTTTGGTTAAAGGACACTTTTAGACACTGAATGACATCAAAGTAAGTTATTACAACAGTAAGAATCAGTACATCTTCAAACTGACCAGGCCTTCCTTACCTTCTGCACTTTCCAAGAACACTTCAGGAAACTTATGTGAACCATTGTAAACCCAACCATAGCGATACCTTTAGTCAAAATACTGCTTAATGGCAAGTAATGGAAAATTATTATGTAAAAAGGTGTCAAGACTAATTTTTTATGTGACATTAGCTTTTGGTATGAAAACAGATTCTCTTTTCAACTGTTTCTGTATACGAAGAAGTAATGCTGTGAAGTGTAATGACTTGTTTTTAAGATATATATTTCTTTCTAAATAAGCTGATCCCAGGGTTTTTCCACTTTCTATTGCATCATACAACATATACAAAACATCTGTACTGCATTAAATACCAAGTGATCTTAAAAAATAAGTTTGTAAGAAGCACAAAGTAGGAGTCAAAAATTCAATTCAAATTCAAGGTCTGCATATCAATGCTGTGTCCCAAACACATGTATTTCCTTATTTTCCTCCATCTTGCTCTTAAATAGCATTGTTCATTCACACCTATTTTGCTGATATCTTTTCAAGGGTAGTATATTAGGACACTTTATTACTTGAAGAAACTAATCTTCCATAAGCAGAAATAGTGCATCTAACACTGAATTTCCAAATCTGTTTTCAGCTTCAGTCAGGTTGTACATCTTGCACAGAAATATCCTTTTGCATCTCATCACCTTTTTATTTGAAGCATCTGTCTGCCTTGCAAACAGTAACAAACCCACAACATCTAAATTAAGCAGTTTAATTAACAGTTTATGTGCAAGATGCAGCACAGTGCTTTCATTGTGCAAAATGTGGTGTCTGATATGTGATCAGGACTGATGGCTGATACTTTTCTTTGGCTTACACGTTAAGCAGCAGAGCTAAATTATTTACACATGCACTCCTCCAACAGATCCATCACTTCAAATATATATGAATATTCAAGAACATGAACAGTTCACCATGAACATAAATTGCCAACATGCTTGACTGATCAAGCAGCCTTAGAGAATGAAGGTGAATAACTTACAGTAAATGAGAAACGTACATCGGCATCAGCTCCTTGACTGGCAGCCAAACTGTGATGTGTGCTCGAGGTAGGCACTTCATCCTTTTGCTAATAACAGCTCCACTCAAGACATCCATTTAAAACTGTTACAACATTAAGTACTCCAAGACACAGGCAAGGTTTGCTAAAACAAAATACTAGCTGTGGTACTAGTAAACAGTACATCATTCAGCTGATATGGCATACCAATCTCAATTTTAGGTGTATACTTGCGAGGAAGTACAACTTTCAAAGTGCAAATAGAGCAAAGTTTCCTAATCTCGTCTCCCTTGTGTGTTCAGCATCAGAGAATTCAATTCTCAGTCTGCAGTATAGGCAGGAACTGCTCCCCAACAGTCCACATGGCACTGGAACAGAATGTGCCAAGGCAGGCATGGTTTCCTAACCCTGAACAGCTCTCTGCAGGGTCACAGTGTGCTAATGCCTGCAAGCACAGTTTGGAAATAGGCACTGCCCTGCAGAGATCGTTTTCACACCTCTTGCCAAATGCAAAGAAGCAAGGCACTAAGCACGGAAGCACTGATATGTTTTAAATATATAGCAAAAGTCACAAAAATGCCTACCTGCTTCAAACTAGAAAATGAGGGCACATTCTTAAAACAGCTGGAAGCTACTTTGCACAATAGTTATTATGTATTTATAAACTCAGTAACTTTGTAGAAAAGCCTCTTAACAAAAAAGAAAAGAAAAAAAATCTCCCAAATATTCAAAAGGAGAAAAAAGCCCCAACAGAACAACCTCCAAGCCTCAGGATACTAGGTATAAGGAAAATAACACCATAAACATAGATTATTTGGCATGCTTAAAATCTTTTGGATTAAAATCCAAGACCAAACCATTCAGCTAAATCAACTGGTATGGTGGTCCAGCTCCCAATCCACTGCCATGGAGTGCAGGCACACTCCACAGTATGCATGGAGGACAGACACACAGCTTAAGCCCTTTGCTGGCATTCATTGAGAATCCAAGCAAAATAATTAAATAAACAAGCAGCTGTAGCCCCAGAAAAGAGTCAAACATAATCTTCCAATGGTAGTTTTTGAGAATGAGAAATTAAATAACTGTTATTGTCCAAATCACATACATATTTTTCAAAACCCACTGCAATTAGGTGATTCCACAATATCTGCATTTAGAGAGTAAACTGTTCCATAAATTGTATATTTATGAACATATATTATGGCTTTTTCTCCCTTCACTGATTTTTTTATTCCCTTCACTATTGTATTAACAGAATTTGTGCCTATAAATAATTCCAAGTGGAATTATGCCAATATATCTTTAAAAATCAATTCTTTCTACAAAATGTATAGAAGTTCAAACCAATGTTTCGTAAGACATAGTGAATATAAAAAAAAGCCCCAAACCTTAATCCTTGTATCAGAAGTGTTCTATTAAATTACCACTTGATAAAATAATGATAATTTTCAGCATTTTCCACAGCAGTGGTCCTCTGTGGTATCCTTTTCAGCCAGCTGGGATACAGCCTGGAATGTTGCAATTAGCAACAGGGAGAGGGCTTGGTGGTAAATGACCTTATCATGTCCTGTGAGCCCTTTGAGGTTAACAGTCCCTATCCCAGGAGTCCAAATTCTAGGATTACAAGACTACATTTACTGTTCAAAGTCATGGGTAAATAAAAACCAGTGCTGAAATCATACAGTTAACTCTGAAAGCTCAGTAAAACTTTTAAACAAAACTATAAAATCTTTGGACCGAAAGAGAAGGGTTGAACTCTCCTACAGCTTTCAACATGATGCATACTGAGCAAACCACAGATAAAAAAAGCTAGAACAAGCTAAATTCCCAAAAAGCTGGGTTTTTGGTTACATTGCTCTGGACAGCTCCATTCTCCCTTCCGTGGCAATGAACTCTTTTTCTGTGGTTCGTTTATCACCTTGGCACAGTCTCTCCTTCAGTTTTTCAAGTTCATACTCATGTAGGATTTTTTGTGTTAAATACTTCTCACGTTTTATTTTGGCTTTCACATCCGCAGGAACATCAGGGATCATCCATGCGACAAAGAATTTGACGATGAATACAACATGCTAAAAAAACAAAAACACCCCCTCAATTCATTACCAAAAGAAGCACCTCTTGTTTTATCTGACACCAAATAGGTCACTTTTTGTTCACAATAAAATACATTTCATTTCGCTGTCCTGGAATAATACACATTGAATTAATGTGTATCTAAGATGTGTATGAAGATTAAACCCCATCTTCTTATGCAGAAATGTTAATTCCAAAGTGTTAATGACTTAGCAAGCCCCAGAGGAAAGTGTCAAGGCCTGAATCTCAACCATCACTTTTTAACTCCTCTGTGTGGCTTGTCAGAAAGTTCACACAGCTGTGCTGATAACACTTAGCTATTGAGAGCTGAGGAAACACACCAGGAAAAGTGATGAGGTGAGCACTTGAACTTTCTCCCTTTTCCCTTCACAACTTGCAAAGCAGTGGCTTAACAATGGTGTCCCAATCCAAACTATTGATTTAGCTGTTTCTAACCAATATACATCACTGCAAAATGCTGTGTGGATTTTGAACACAGTCATCTCACATACAGCTCCATAATGAAAGCAAGAGGAGTGGAAGTGCTAGTCCTGGAGTCCTGGTGGCTTTCATTTCTTACACTGGCATTTTTAAAAAAAAATTTATTACCTTTTTTATTTGCCTCATTATTTTGATCAGCATTTGCAATCTCCTCAGCCATCTTCACTTTTCCTACTCTGAGGTGAGCTCACTGAAGTTAAAAGACCCAGTAAGAGTTATCTTTTAGGACATGAATACTTGGTATTGTCTAGGGAACAGGTTATTTTATACTCCCAGCAAATCTATTTGCTGTTACACTACTAACTATCTAGATAAATCACAAGGTACTGATGTCAGAAGGAAATTTTGCAGGGAACATACCTCCATAATAATTATAAAGGCCAGTTTTGCAGCAAGAATGTGCCAGAACTGCATAGTGTGTAAGTATTTCCTCTCATGATCTGGAGGATATCGATAGTCTCTGTACCTGTGGGAATGACAGACATGCAAAGGTGAAATGTCACATCCAGCCTGGGACAGATTACAAGCTTAGTGACACTTACAAGCAAGTACAGCTGCCACTTAAGGAACCTTTTCTTGTTTTAAATGGTCTGTTTCCTTTTGCAGAAAAAGGCTGTCTCTCAATTTGCTCCTATCTTTGTGTTTGCTTAAACATCCTCACACACACAGCAACAGAGCAGAGATGAGGATGTGTGATGTGAAATTTGGCACACAGGTGACTTGTTTTTCAGGCAATGATCAAATAATGCAGGACAGGGTGATGGGATGCATCACAGGGTAATGGACATGCACTGAATAAATGTGACACACACGAGCAGATTATGGACTGGACAGATGCAGGGTTTCATGAAAGGACAGACCTGAGTGCATGTTCTACACCACCAAACAAATGCAGCCGTTTCCAGAAGTGAAGTGGTTGGTTTGGGGGGTGGTTTTGTTTGCTTTGAGATTTTTTTCATCCAATCAATACTTTTATTTTACCATTTCCAAAGTTATTTTGTAATTATTCTAGAATCTCCAATGCTTCTGGCTAGCAAGAAAGGACTACTTTTTAAATGAAAGCAGGATAGGTCTGATTTTTGGTCTGATCAAGCAAAATAAGGATTGATTTTAAACACCATATCTCATTTTCAGCTTTGAGATCTAATCATCTCCTTTATTCTGCCTTCTTTTCCTTACTCAGCCTGAAAATTTTTGAAAACATAGGCTGAAGTTTGCAACTTTAGGGGCATTAATTTCCTTCCTCACTCAAAAATCAATAGTGTAATTAAGTAAACAAAAAGTAAAATGAAGAAAAAGCAAAATGCAAATAAGCAATGAGACTTTTAGTGGTGATTTTTCTTGAGGTGATCGTTTTTGTTATTGGCTCGATCTCTTACCACCTCAACCTCATCAATAGTCTAAATATTACCTCTCTCACTTTGGAATAATGAGAATGACATAATTTATTTTCTAATGGACAACTTCGATTTTTATGCTGTATTCTATACAAAGCGACACCAACCTGCATATGACAAAGTTTTCTGGATTCTCTTTAGGTTCATTTCTCAGAGGAAAATCTGAGATTTGAAACACTGACAAACTGTTGTTTATGTATCCAGACATTGGCGAGTCTTCACTTTCAGAATAAGCATAGTAGTAAACTAAACGAGGAATCATATCTGATGTGAATGCAACAATAAAAGCCTGAAAAGAGATTGGAAAAAGAAATAAGGAAAGCAGCACACAAAATCTGTCAGCAGATTTGTAACAGCGTTGTGGTTCTGTGACTCTAGCATTACCCATTCTAGACTCTTTTAAGAAAGGGTGGGAAGCATGATTGGGGCACTTCACCTTGGTGAAAGATGCTGACTGCAGCCTCAGCACATTTTTCCTGGAAGCCTGAGATACTTAAGGTGCTGAGGTATCCTGCTGCTATGGCAGTACCTGCAAGTGGGTTTGCTGCCTGAGGTACACTAAAAAGAGGCATCTCTTGTGTTCAGCAGGCTGCTTTACAGTATGTTTCCAATGAAATACTGGCATAGCATTTAGTTACCAGTTTATAAAAATTACTTGGAGCCACTGGTCCCACAGGTGCATCCAGAAGAGGAGCAGAATTCTCACAGAACAGGCCTCACAGCAACAAGGACAAAAATGCATCTGACCCACAGGATTCATCCACCTTTCCCATCCCCTACAGCTCCCTCTGGGCAATCAGTGTGCTTCATCAGACTAAGCTTCATACTGGCTTATGCCATTCCAAAAGGCTGGAAAACACAGACAACTGAATGAAAGATTATGGCAAATAAAATGTGGATAGGGAGCTGCACACTGCCAACATATGGACAAGCCAAACCACTTAAGTGGTTTGATGGTATCTTTGTAGGTTAACATGATACAGTGTTGATGAAGGAGAAAAAGCATCAGGTGGTTTTTAATTCTTCACATTTTGAGTACATGGAAGAATCAATGTTGATGCAGCACAAGACAGTGGTTTTGGTTCTCCAACTTGAGATTTCCCAGCTAATACATCACATACCTAAGCAAGTATTAACATACTTACATTGGTGACAACAGACAGGATGGCCATGCCATTGAGGATTTCCTGCCACACTCCTATGCTATGTGCTTTTGCAGCCACAGGCCTTCTGAACTGAGTGGTTAATTTCCAGGAGTCCACGCGAATCTCCAGGATATTATTCATCAGAGCAAGAAGAGGAGCCAAGGGAAAGGATGCCACAAAGAGAGTAATGAATCCAAACTGAATGACTGCAAGAGGGAAAAAAAGTAGGTCAAAATATGCCCTTCTCAAAGTATCCTCAGAGTGATGGGGGTCTACTATGAGCAGACAAGTGGCAAACTTCTGCCAGACTGCACAAGTCATCCTCAGCCCTGGCATCAGCCCCAGTCCCAACACTTCTCCAGTCCCTTCAGGCTGCCATTCAGCAGCACCCACAGAAATGGGCATGTGCATCCTGTGAAATGATGCTGCCAGCAGTGCTGGATAGCAATTCTTTCAGGGTGCTGCAGTTCTCATATGAATGGTGTGTAAATGTAGGGGAATTGGGATGAATTAATCCATCAAATTTCTCAACTGTTATCAAGCCAGTTTTGTTCTCTTGCAGTTTGTACCATCTTGTTCTTCTTTTACTTATCAACTACACACCTCACAACCTTATCTTCACCTATTGTTATTGATTTAATGAAAACATTCATAACACCTCTATATGCAATAGCTCCATTGGGGAGTGCTGACATTAGTCTAAGAATTGTGACGAGAATATACAAATGATAGTTTCAGTTACCAAAATTAAGTTTCTCAGTACAGAATGTGATAATCCTCAGTACACAGCCAATACTGCCACAGTGTTTCAAATAGAAGAAACAGAGTATTTTTTATGGTTTAGGTAGTATATAAAATGAATTCCCATACAACAGTCATTCACTTTTCCATTATTTCAGTGGTAAGTTTTTCACCTCAGATAAGCAACAAAACACCTGCTAACTTAGCCCTCCACTATGCTGGAGCATAGCTCTGGTTCTGGAAGAGCAAGGACACGGCTTGCAACTGTGTATTCTGAGTGTATTAGTTTCACATGATCACAGTGTCAAATTAAACTGATAATAACACTACGCATCTCTAGAACACTTCAAACTATTTGTGCAGAAATAAAACAATATAAAGGTTCATTTTTCAACAAAATGTATCCTTGTAATAATCAAATATTAACTTCTTTAAAGCATCCTTTAAATTTAACCTGGCTTTAGTTTTGGTTTCAGTTTCTCAGGTTTGTAAACTACTGCTACAAGCTGACATGCTCGCGTTACCTTTGAAAACCCAGATTCCCTTGCCCACACTCCCTCTGCTGGTCTAACTGCCTGAAGGGAAGCACTGATCAGTGCCACACTAAATCTGAAGGGATTCTCCTCCAGCCAGTTCGTAGATCTCATGCCTTACAGCACACTTGGCACTCATCCCATACTTAAAATTTCCACTGACATCAGCTAAGAATATGCTTTGGAACAACACAAGAACAGACACAGAGGCAGCTGGCTGCACTGAGAATAACGTTCCCCATTCAAATGAGGAAAACAAAAGTCTGCAGTGTTTCTGTGAAATTCCCAGCAGTTCAAGATGCAAAGACAGCTTTTTTTTTTTTTAAACTGGGCTGACCTATTTAATAACTTCCAGCAGTTAATCCTCCCACTATGCAGATGAAAGTGGTGGCATCAACCCACAACAATTAATCAAGAAAATGTTCTTTTGGAAGTGTCAGTACAAGGTGTCCTGTCCTCAATTCCAAATGTGTAATTTTGAACTTACCCATTTCTAAATATTCATAGAACAGGCCTAAGGCTCCAAATGTCTGCAGATCATGGTCTTGCTCCCAGCGACTGTATAAATTTTCAGGATTATTTCTGGCTTTCCGACGACCCCACCAGTTACAAATCCAGCTGTATATGCAGAAAAATGTTAACAATGAGAGAAGCAGATCAGATTGGCTCACTTGGTTAGAGCACCATGCTAATAACACCAAGTTTAGTCCCTGTACAGGCCATTCATTTGAGAGCTGTACTCAATCCTTGAGGGTCCCTTCCAACTCAGAATATTCTGTGAAGTCAGAATCACAGACTGACCAGGTTGGAAGAGACCTTCAAGATCATTGAGTCTAATTCATGCCCCTCAACACCTCAACTAAACCATGGCACCAAGTGCCACATTGAGTCTTTTTTTAAGCACATCCAGGGATGGTGACTGCACCAAACAGACACATCCACAGCCTTTCCTGCATCCACTTGGTCATAAAAAGAGATCAGGTTGGTCAACATGACCTAGCCCTCCTAAACCCCTCCTGGGTGGGTCTGACACCCTGGCCATCCTGTAAGTGTGTGTGGTGACACTCAGTGTAACTGTTCCATGACCTTACCAGGTACTGAGGTCAGGCTGACTGGTCTGTAATTACCAGGATCCTCCTTCCCACCCTTTCTGTGAATGGGTGTCACAATGGCCAGTTCCAGTCATCTGGAACCTCCCCAGTGAGCCATGACTGCTGGTAAATGATGGAGAGATGCTTGGCAAGCTCATCTGCCAGCTCCCATCACCCTGGGGTGGATCCCATCTGGTCCCATGGATTTATGAATATCCAAGCAGCTCAGCAGTTCTCTGACTGCCTTCTCTTGGGTAACAGGGGGATCATTCTGCTCCCTGATACCATCAACCCACCCAAGAGGTCAGTTGTTCTGAAAGCAAGTCATCTTCCCACTAAAAACTGAGGCAAAGATGGCGTTAAGCACTTAAGCTTTCTCCTCACCTGCAGTTAAGTTTCCTCCTGCATCCAGCAGAGAGCAAAGGTTTTTATTACCCTTCCTTTTGCCATTAATATATTTGTAAAAACATCTTTTATTATCCTTTACAAACACTGCCAAATTTAGTTTGAACTGAGCTTTGGCCTCCCTAATTTTTTTCCTATAGCCCTACCAACTCCCATAAATACTTCCTGAGAGACCTGATCCTCCTTCCAAAGATGACACATCCTCTTTTCAAAACCTTGTTGCCCATCCAGGCTGGACATCTGCCTTGTTGACTCATCTTTCAGCACACAGGGACAGTCTGTTGTTGTGCCCTTGAGATCTCTGTTTTGAAGCATGCCCACCTTTCCTGGACTCCTTTGTTTTTAAGGGCTGCTTCCAAAGGAACTCTGGATAAGTCTCCTAAATAAGACCAAAGTCTGCCTTTTGTAAGTGGAAGTCTTACTGATGTTCCTCCTGATTTCCCCAAATATCGAGAACTCTATAATTTCATGGTCACTATGCCCCAGCAGCCTCAAACCACTTCATCTTCCTCCAGCCCATCTCTAATTGCAAACAACCAGTCACAGTCCCTCCCCTTATCTGAGCAGGCTTCTTAATACAACTTTACAAACATGCTTTTACAAACATGGCTTTCACAAGAGACTAAAAGCCTTTATGAAATAACTGTCAGAAGTTTTTGCACTTAATTTACAGAATTCTTCTTATCTTCCTCACATGGCAATCACTCCTCCCAAGAATTTCTCAGTGTCAGAGAGAACTTACGGAACAATAGCCTCCTGGATATTCCCCCAGATCTGTTTGCCAGCCATGACAATGGTGAGCTGTGTCGTCAGTTCTATCAAACAGCCTGCAGGATCACACTGGTGGAGACAAACTGAGTGTCAATGGACATGGATAATGGGTATCACCCAGATAAACTATAGTCTACTATTGTGTAAGTGCAAGAAAGGATATCTTAAAACTTCTAAGGACAATACTCTATTTCCACATGGACTGCCAGCTAAGCCACTCTCTCAGGAAGGGCTTTAAGTGTTTCAAGTGTGAGACAAAACATGTTCCAAAACATAGCAACCACATGAAGACAGAGTAATTCAGAGATGCTTCAGCAGGATCTGCGTGCAGCACACACCCCTCAGCCCCAGCAAAGTGACTGTTTTGCACTCAATGAGCTCTCAGCACCAGGTTTTTTTTTTAAGACCCATGCTGAGACCCACTGGTATTTCAGGAGAGCTGGGACTAAGAAAAGCTTTATGATTTTTCACTCTTGTGACTGCCAGATTTTCACTGCTGGTGTTGCCCTGACTAGCAACAGCAGGAAGAGTCATTGGAAGCATCAACTTTAGGATAGCCAGCTGAGGTGCAGCTCAGCTCAGACCACGCCTGCAGCTGGAAATTTACAGCTGTGCAGACTGAAGGGAACAATTCACCTTAACTAAGAAAACCTTACCTCTTCATTTCGCCAGCGATTAAACATGTATGTGTAGGCACCTGGGTAACCAACAAACTTCCCTTTGAAGAAGGCCACATAGAAACAGGATGAATAGTAGTTGACAAACTGGAACAAAAACATTTTCATAGTGAGCCTGTTCTCATACTCCATATGAGTTCTGGGGATCTCTGTGAAACCAGAAAACAATACTTTTATGTTCCTTTATTCTCTTTAAAAGGATAAAAATTCACAAATATTCATCATGCCCCTTAAAGGAAAAAAAAAAAAAAAAGGATAACACCTACAAACACTTCAGCAGATGGAGTTCCTGCTTTCAGACACCCTGCCCTTACTTTGCAATGCAACTTTTGATGCAGGCACTCAAAGGAAATTCAAATTTAAAACCTCTATAAAATTTAATTTCCCCTTCTTTGTCCTGTTCATTAGCACTTGTCCATCCCCAGATGTTACACTCTTTTAGGAGATCTGAGATGAATCTCAAACAGTAACTAGAGGGCTCTCCTGTAGTATGAAGATCTCCCTGTTGGGAACACATGATTATTGTTTTTTTTTGTGTTAGAGAAGTATGTTAACAATATTTTTTCACCAACATACTGTATGCATATCATTAAAATCAGCAAAACTGCAAGGCCCATGTGCCTCTGAAAGATGAGGCTCATAAGGGGCAGAACAACAGGGGAGAGTACGAGCATCTTGGAGCTACTGTAGATCACCAAACCTTTGCTTAGGGTTTTGCTGCCTTTTGCTGCTCATTGTCTATCACATTTATATTTTTGAGGGCAGCAGGAAGCCCTAAGCTATTGTCAAATGTCCTGTCAAACAATAACATATAACCAATTCAAGTTGGGAGGTACCGTAAGAAAATACAACATTCAAGTCCCTCTGAATTGGTGAGGCAGATGTGTTGAACTTATCTGCCTTATTGTAAAGTTGTTTCATGTAACTGAGTAAACTTTCCAAGCTTGGTGTAAGTCTGCATGCCAGAAGAACATGAGGCATTTACTGGGAACCTGACATCAGAGTGTAGGACACAAGAGGCAGCTCTCAGGTGAGGCAGCCTGCCTAGCTTGCAGCTCCCTATAATGTTTTTACTTTCAGTGAGTTGTTAAAATACTGATGTGAGGCACACAATGTTCAGAGCACCAGAGGCAGATCATCCTGCTTGTCTGAACACCAAATCTGGCCTAACCCTTTCAAGGAGCTCGAGATGAATGAAGTCTGGGCAGACACTTCTGACACCCAGGCCACCCGAGCAGGGCAGCAGTCCTGCTCACACCAGTGACCTGGCATGCTCCCCCTGGAACCCACAGCCCCAGGTGGTGCTGCCACTTGAGAAATCATTATCCACACTTGCAAATCAGCAAAATAACACCGCTGAGCCTTCACGCTTACAATTCTTGCTCCTCAGGAAAGAAAGATTTAAAAAATTATGATTTCTGTTTGTTTCTGTGTTTGTTAGGGGCAATTTTAGTTACTACTTTTTCTGTTTCAGTTTGGTCTGATTTGGCCAAAAAAGATAAGCAATACAGATCTCAGAGATGGTCCATGGTAAATCAAAATAAACCAAATGCAACATCCTTTTAAGATTCTGCAAGGAACACCTTTCAACTCTTGACTCTGCTTGCAAGATCTCAAAAAAAATCAACCAACTGTTTTTATGACAAGTGCACAAACTGCAATTACCTAATATTTTCAGCTCCCCACCCCAAGCTGAATGTATTCTGCAATTATTTCTTCCTATTAAACACCTTCAGGGACTTCTATCTCTAAATCATTAAGGACAAATAAAATGAAGTAAAATTTAAAAAAAGTCTAACAAGGGCTCTTAGGAATGGTATTTCCAGCATGCAAGCAGAAGTCAAACATAAAATACACGACAAAAGCAGGCCCTCTTTCTGGGCCTCCAGCTTGGAAGCAGGGGTACTGCCCTATCAATAGCTACTGCCACAATAGCACATCTTGGGCACAGCTTCTCATCCTGCTCAACCTATGCCTTTCATCTTTGTAACTCCAAATCTGTACAGCCAGAGCTGAAGGAAACAATGCTCAGAAAAACATGGAAAATGAACTATTTCATCCCACCATTTTCCCCAGACTAAGAGTAGTGATTTGTCCTTTTTTCTTGTAAAGACAGCTATGATTTATTTTTTCAAATATATTTGCAGGATTTTTAACTGAAATACTGCTAGCTCAAGGCAGTCTGATATTGTTTGGTGACTCAAGATGTGATTCAAGTGACTATGTTCAGGTCTGTGATTGTCTCTGTAGACTAGTTCCAATATAAACAAGCATTATATGAAGAGAAACTAGATTAGGAGTGTGGGACTCAGATTCAGTCAAAGGAAAAAACTGAGAGTTTCTAGCCAGGCAGAGGCCTGGGAAAGAGCTGGGAAAGAATGTAAATAATTCTTTATCTCTCTGATTTTTCACATTGTTTATAGTTAAGTTCTATCACTGTGCGTCAAGCACTTTGCACCAATGCTGTGGGTTGTTTTCCCTTCAGAACCAATGGATTTGGTCCTTGTGGAGCTCTGTATAAAAGAGCAGTGTACTTTGAATAAATCGGAGTTTTACTCTCAGCAGCCTTCTGAGTCAAGTCTCTTCATTCCCGTCCTGCCTCAACAGTGACATCGGAGAATTACTGAAACGCTGGGAAAACGTTCAGTATGGCATGGATACTCCTGAGTCATTGCTGCAAGCTACTGTGAGCTACAGAGCTCGCACTGTGCCTGGGCTGAGAACAGCCGGAACACCTTGCTGGTGTGCAACGGAACCACCAAGGATTCCTTCCAAGCTGTGCCTCCAGGCAGCCCAGCTCACCCATGTCAGTGATCCAGATGGCGATTCTCTCGTAGAAGAAGTTCAGGACCATGATGATGACGAAGTTGAGGCAGGAGGCGGTGACCGAGGTCGCCAGCTGCGGGGTGAGCAGGCCGCTGATGGGCTGCAGCGTCTGCGTGTTCTCCATCAGGCTGGCGAAGGCGGCGTAGACGGCCAGGCGGTACACGATCACGGCGATCATGCTGGCGATGATCAGGGACACCTGCGGGGCAGGGACAGGGCAATGCACTGCCAGCTTAGCACTGCACACCACAGCTACATGCAGGCAGCTTCAAACACAGCGTGGAAACTACTGTAAATGCAGGTAAACCTAATGTCAGACAACGTCTGACTTAATTTAGAAGGCTGAATTATTTCTTTATTATAACTATGCTAAAATACATTCATATACTATATAAAAGGAGGATACTAAAACTATATACTACTTTCTCTGACTTTATTTCTAATTCTAACACAACTTGTGACTTTCTCTTGAGAGTTTAGACACAGGTGGATTGGATTGGCCATCAGGCTCAAACAATCCTCACTAGAACTTAATTAAGTACTCACTTTAGGTAAGCAATTTTCTAAACACATTCCACATAGGAAAAACAAAGAATAAAAACAGAAATTGTTTTTTCTTTCATTTCACTCTGTACACTTCTATAAAGAATCTTGAGAAAGAAAAAAATGTGCTTGCCACAGTAAACCATCATGCTTTATATTTTTAAAATTTTATTCTTTGGGGGTATGAGTTCAGCAGCACTGAAACACAAAGTACACAGGCAAAATACTTTGTTATATTGTATACATTAAAACCAACAAAATTATTTTGTTAACATAAGAAAAGCTGACAACCTACTACCAATATCTGAGAAAGTGCAGAAAAGTATAGACAGGAGATGGAAAAGACAAGTCAGATTAAACTGTCCACTCTGAATATCACTCTGCATTCATTGTTGTGAATTCTTTTTTTTGTTTGCCTTACCACAATATTTTTGGTATGTCTGTCAACATCAAGTAAGTCACAGAGAAAGTTACCCCTATGCTAAAATGTCCAATCAAATGACTAATTAATGACAGATTTCCACTGCCCTTTTAAAAATAAAATTATCAGAATGGAAGTGTTTTAAATGACAGCATGAAATGTGCAGAACAGCAATAAAATCATGTGTTAACATCATGATTAAAACTAATTTGTGTTAAGGTGATGATTAGTAATGAACAGCATCTCGGATACATGTCAAAATGATGATTCAAAAAGGTGCTCACCCAGAACAACACTGTAGCTCCTGAGATGCAGAATCGCACAGCCTGGCTGGTTAAAGGCAAGTAAGGCTCCATCTCCTGAAACAGTCAAGTACAGCACAGTTCAGTTATTCCCATATCTTACTGGAACTTCCAGCAGCACACAGAGCTCTCACCAACTGTGTGAAAAGTGTTCACATTCCAGGGAAACCATCCAGAACCCTGCCCCTCTCAAATGGCACAGAACATAACTTGGGGCATGGCAGGGGGTGGATGGGGCAGGGCAAAATGATCAGGACAGAAGCTGCCATAAAACTGCTACAAGACAGTACCTGGAAAGAATGGTTAAACTTTTACAAAATCAATCAGCAGCTAAAGGAAAAAGACCAACTTCCTGAGAGAAGCAGGCCACAACTATTACTGTAATGCTAGGTTAGCTGCCAAACAGCTCTGAGTCCACAACAGGACTCCAATTTTATAAATTCTTCATGCCAAGATTGCTTAAAATTTGTCATTTGGATGTGCTAGTCAGACATTGTTTTTCTCCACTCCTTCAATTTTATTTGTTTTTTTAGTTTATGAAATGGCTGAATGCAGCTGCCAAGCTCTGCTGCAGCACCAGGCAACTGGGTCATGCCAGTATCCCCAGACAACACATGAACAATTTTCAATGCTCACACAGCTTGTGCAACCAATTCTAGTTCTTAAAATATCAGAGTACATGTTCTATGAAGCAATCTTCTCTTTAAAAACTAATGCCAGTGGAAGAAGATATAGTGAAAAATAACCTCAATTTGATAAATCTGTAGGACAAGGCACTGTAGAATGCTTAGACTCCTCTTCAGCAAAGTGGCACTGTGTACTACAGAAGCTGCAATCCCAAATGTAATATAGGCAGTAATGTGCAATGACAGAGCCGAAGTTTGAATCAAATGTTTCATTATGTAGATTACAATTCTATTGTGATCAGCAAACCCAGATTTTAGCTATGATCTTGTTAGACAGCTTAGCACCATGAACAAGTATGCTCATGATAGCCTCAAGATCAGCAATTTTGGTTTCAGTGCACTTAAAACTTTGAATCATGAATAATGATGAAATAATTTTCTGAGTGAGGCAAAACCAGCTGTGGGACACAAAGTCACTGTCCTGTACCCACACAGCCTTATTGGTTCCTGCAGAAGTCACTGCACTGACCTTTCATGTGTTCACTATAGGACATGCTCTAACAGAAGGAAATCACTATTACCTGTACAGGTTAGCCTATAATTAATTGGGTACTGATAAGGATCACTGATAAACCCTTCTGCAAAAAAGCCTCTGAAAAACCACTGAGACAGTAAATTGTAATGTTGTAATATAAAGGCTTGTATAGTCATTGAATTTTTATGGCAATTTTTAATGCATACTTAGAAAGTACAGAGGAGTGCAGTATCTCACATTGAGATAAGAGTATTAGAGTCCATTTCTACTTCCTAAATAAAGTTCACAAACCCCTATCTCAACTAAGGGATTTGGATTAATTTAGAGACACAACTTTTTCTCCCTCAGGACAATATACAAGCACACCCAAGCCTTTGGCTGTGCTCTGGTACAGCTGATTCCCCTCCTCAGGCTAGAGGTTTTGGTCCATGCTGTACACAAGCACTGCTACCTGGTCAGCCCATCAGTGCCTTCCTAACAGGATCAGCCTCTCTTGCAGAGCTCAGCAGGGCAGCACGGGCTCTGCCTGCTGCACAGAGCTCCTCCTGCTCCCTGCCTCAGCTGCAGCACCAAAATGAGATGAAAAATTAAACCCTACAATTCTAAGAAAGATTTGTAGGGAACGGTATGTTTATTTACAGTGCTGTGGAAGCATGTCGGAATTTATTGCTCTTTGATGGACACGTGTCCTTTTGAGAACACTTGATTTTTTTTTTATTACCCTAATTTCTATATGCATAGAATTTCACAATAGGTTAATGCACATTCATTTTGCTGATTTTACATTACAGTTTTAGTTAGTTACACTTGTACTTAGTTTTTGTTAGAAAGCATAGAAAGAACTCTTGGGTCACTCTGCTCTGTTTGTTTTAAGGTCTGAGAAGTCTTTTTTATTTTTTATCTTTTAGTGTGGAAATTTGCATTTTTTCTTTTTAGCTGGGGTAGTTTTGCTAGGCCTGCAGTCACTAGACTAAACAGCATACTTAGTAAGCTTGAAGTGGCACATTTCACTTAAATCTAAATGGATTTCTACCTTGTTAAGTTTTTACTGTCTCAGCACAGCCACTGCAATCTGGCAGGGTCTGAGCCCTGCGCAGCCATGGAAGGGGTGGGGGGGTTTGAGCCTGAGCATCACAGGCATGCAAACCAGCAAATAATACATAACTGGCAGGCATGTCTTTTCAATTAAGAGAGCTAACTAATAAAAATTGATTTACTTGAGCCTGTTTCCTTGAACATGCAGAAGGTAATGCTTCAGCAGAGCGATACTCTTAAACACAGTGCACTGCTATCAAAGAGCTCTGTGCAAGGTACAAAGCACTAGTTACAACAGCACAATTAATGCTGTGTATGTGGATGGGGGAAAACTCTCTCTCTCCTGAGAAATAAGATTAGGATATGTATTTCCTAATGACTGAGGAAATGAGCCCTGAAAGACAAGGCTACTGTTTTTAGAACAAAGACTCTTCCCACATTCTGTCTAAGCTTCCATTTTTTTTCTGAAGACTGTGTTATCTCAGTAGGACTAGCGAGAATAAGCTATTTATAAGCACTTCCGTGAAAGGGAAAAGATGATTTAAAAATACATTGAATGGGTGTGGTAGATACTGTGTTGGAATGCAACCAGCTGATCCTGAAGTTTGTCAAATAACTCCTACCTAAAATAAATTTAGATGAAAACAATTAACATTTAGTATTAATATAGAGTGTTTAACAGAGTTAAGAGGGGTCACTAATTGCATCTCAATTACATTTCAGAGAAAGGACTTTGGCCACCTTCATCCCTCTGGTGTTCCCCCAACCACAGCTAGACCAACTCACCACTTTAGATCACAGTGACTGTTTCTTCATATGTTGTGTAGGGATAAGAATGAGTGGTTTTAAAGGCATGAAAGTTTCAGAGACTGCTACTCTGAATTGTGAAAGATGCTGTAAAAACACATAAAAGCTATAAACTTTGCCCATATTTTCCTGATTTAATATATCAATTTCCATGTTACAAAACTTTCAGAATACAACTGGATTTGCACACATGTAAGCACAGCATTTTCATACCTGAGTTACAGGATTCTTCTTCTTTTGGGTACATTTTGCCTCATACTCAGGCCTCAGCTGGAGCTGTTGTTGTTCCTCTTCAAAATCAACCAAATCCCATTCATATTTCAGTCTTGCTTGCCGCCTCTTCCAAAACTCCAAGAAAAGTGTAACTACAATTTGCAAATGTTAAAATAGAGTTAAGGAAGAAGTGAACAAATTCATGAACCAAGTTAAACATCTGCACTGGTTTCTTTTCTGTGGTTTATTATTTATCCTTACAGTGTGACTCACTTATTTTTACTGACTACCAACTATAGTTCACAGATAAGACCACAATATGGATCCAGTGATATATCAGCTAATTGGATTCCAGGAGTGGATGACAAGGAAGATGCCAAGACAAGATATGGATATTTCCATGTTTATGGTGACCATGTTCAATTAACTACTCTGTGTATGCAAAAAGCAACATGGAATTAAGAAAAGAACCTGATAATTCAACTAATTACTATGTATAAACCTACAGCACATAAATATTCAACAAATAAGCAGAACAGCTTTCAAGTACTATGGTCCAACACTTCTGTTGCTTTTTTGATGCTTATTTAATATCATGGTGTCCCTAGGGTGACTTTATGATAATGAATTGTATCCTCATTCATCTGTTTAGCCCAGAAATAAGGTTTGTGCCTTTAAAACTAGATCTGAGAGTAAAAGGGGGAGAAGGAAAAGGGGTGGAATTTTATTGCAGCTGTATTCAAAACAGAGATAAGAGCTTCAGCTCTCTCTCTCTCTCTCAGACCGTGTTGCCTGCAGCACGGACAGCGAGCAGGACCAAACTCTCCTTTGCTTTTAGTCAGTTTTTTTAGCTAGCTGAGGCAGAAAAGTTCCCCAGAGCATGGCTTTTCTTTTTCTTGGAACTGTTTGAACCTGCTCTGGACTGAAACCCCAGAGAAACACCTGGAGCTCACACCTGTGGCCCACTGGGGCTGGGATGCAGCATTTCCAGTGCAGGAGGGACTGATGGAGACAGAGTGAGCTGAGCTACTGCCCCTGGAAAGGACTTGCTGAATTTGCCACCTCTTCAGAACCATGGCAGATTCCATTCTTTAACATTATTCATTTTTTATGCTTGTGAATACTTTGTTTGTTAAATAAACAGTCTTTTCCAATTTTCTCAAAGGAGATTTATGTCTCTCAGTCTGGGAGGGGCCACTTGAATTTGCTTTCTAGAGGGACCCTTTTGGAGGTTTCCTCCCAAATCTGCCCTAAACCAGGACACCTGGTTCATTTTAAAGACAGTGAACATCTGATGGTTTTCATACAATCAAGGGTTGGGCTGGCCTAAGAATTTTTTAAGATATTAGAGGGAATTGATTTCATATATAAACAATATAACATTTTAAGAGCCCTTTATAAATTACTTTAAAACAATCTTGTTATCTGATTGATCTTTACTGAACTGAGGAAGTTTTATGGTTTAGACAAAGACAGGAAAGCTTATCTTCTGCAGTTCTAAACTCTTTGGTACTTCCTGAATGACTAATCCATGTCACACAAATGCTAGTTCTTACAAACCAAGAAAAGTTTAGGAAAACAGCCATAGAGCAACAATCTTATTAGATTTTAAATAACCTATATGAAAGTGAGAGATTAGATCCACTGGTAAAAAATACACGTTTTCTATTAGCACACAAGAATCTTTGTGAGTTAATGAAATATCTATATACAAGTTGAACACTTAATGATGACATTTCATACAAACAAGGAACAAGACGATTGTATTTAAGGAAATAAGAAGCAATAACTATGCTATCTGGAATTTATAAAACTTCACAGAATTGAAGAAAAGAACATGTATTCAACACAATGTTCTTAAAAGTCTGAAGAGGTATCATTGGTGTGAAACTATGATTATAGAGGCCAGAAATCCATCTATTTCTACATCATCAAAACATACTACAGTGTATGAAGTTCCCTGGGGTAGATCCCAATGGATTTCCCCCTCCCAGAAGTGCAGCTAATACAGGGCAGTGATGGACCATCACCCACCCAGTGAAAGGGCACAAAGCTGCCCACTCCCTCCCTGACACACTGATGATGTGAAGGGCTGAGCAGAGAGGACTCTTGTCTGGGCTGTGTAAGGTTTCTGGTTACTACAGAAAGAATCAAATGTTAGCAGTTAAGAGTACACAATGCTTAGGTTATGGTATCCTAGATGCCTGCTTGGGTTTAAGTCTCAATTCCTCTGTAACTTTTAAATTATTTTCACTCATTCATCACTTCTGCATTTGAGGCAGGATACTAACGTGAAGCCGTTCTTCCCACTTCCCATGTCCCTCAGCAGCTTGGCCAAGATCTCCCTATTGCCTGACATAAAACTTTATCAAATGTACTCACCCCATATACCCATGAAAATGGCAAAAAAAAGAGTTGCCACGTTGTCAAACAAATGGGAATACTGCAAGAGAACAGGCAGGAACAGGTCAGTGCCAAGCCAGGTTTCAGGATGAACAGGAATGAACAAAAAAACAGATACACACCTGTGAGGACTCGCAGGTGGTGTTCAGTCTCCAATACTCACAGTCTCGGTCACAAAGCGGGCACATGATGATCTCTCCTCCAATTGCAGGGTCACAGATTTCTTTGCTAAGGAGGAAAACATTGTAAAGTACCTGCTTCCACAGCATCTTAAAAGATATTTGAAATGAAATTCATTTAAAAGTAAATAGGAGCTTCATTTATTCGAAGCTCAACATTTGCAGCTGCACAGCAAAGATGCCACATCTTGTCACATTCACTGGTATTAACCAGTGGCTGGGTAAGGCAAATGAGGAATGAAGCAACTGCTACAAGGAGTAGAATTAATAATTCCCTTGATATGGCTTTTTGACTGTACCAGCAATGAATCGGGAGTCTATAAGAACTATACTGTACATGCACTGCTTTTGGGCAAGATATAAATAAACCATGTTATTTCTCATTAGGTTAGCAACGACATCAAAACACCCTTTCTAAAAGCAGAGAGACCACTTCAGCTTTGATATCAGCAGTAAAATTTGTTACTTCAATTCAATGACAGTGGGTAAAATTTAGAATTCTATCATAGTCTTTGGTATTCAGAGAAATCTCAATACCTATAACAGTATTCCCAGATGAATTCTTAACCTAGCTAAAATACAAGTCTCAAAGTTACATTATTCAACAGAATAGGTGAGAATTTTAACTTGTAATTTTTTATAGTTAAAACTCAAAATTTTATGGAAGCCTTCTTACAGAAAACAGTGAGCAACGAGAAGTAAACCCTCTTTTCCTCTCCCCACCCCGAATCCCTGAATACAATAAATCTTTGGACTTCTGATAAAACAAATACTATGCTTCAAAAAAACCCACCAAACTGTGGCTTTTAAGCTCTTGGATCCCTCTTTTATGGGAGAACACTGCTGATCTGCTTTACTCATGCTTTTGGTTAGTACAAATCATGACCTGCACAAAAAGGTCAGACTGCTCTGCAAGACAGATGACATAGTTGAGCTTAAACACTCAAACAATTTTGGGAGATCTAAGGGGTACTCTCAGGTCTTCATATATTGCAGCTTCTCCAATACAGAAAGCTATGGCTAACAAAATATTGCTTTTCACCTACAAGTTGAGTCTTACTAATTGATAGTCACAAGTTCTGCATTAGTGGTCCACCCCCTTTATAGTCAATAAAGACAGCTGAAGAACAAATTTGTCTGCTCTGACAAGCTTTAAAAGCTTGTTACCTGTTGAGTAACAACAAGAATAAACTTTTTTACAGGAATAAAATTTTCACGTTGCTTAGCTTTTGCCCAGGAGATTTTCAACATTATACCTACCTGCTCATATTTTCATCCATTGTAAACAAACCATAAAGAAAACAGATTAAGCCAACAACTGCTGCAAGGAATAACATCTCAGTGTAAAATCCCAGCCAGGCAAAATAGATTCCAATCTTCTCACCATAGTACTTTCTGAATACAAAAAAACCAAAAGCAATTAATAGGAATACAAAGCAAAATTTAAAACTGTAATAGAGCAAACTGGCCAGAGTAAAAGTGAAATCCTTGGCAAAATTCTCCTTTAACAGAAGAGTAAATGCACTGAGGTACTGTGGAAAATGAGGGCTGAAACTGGCTGTGAGAAGTTACTCAAGCTGTATGAACAAGGTGAATGATCAGGAAGTATTGCCTCTTTTGTCCCTTTTTTCCTCCTAGCAGAAACTAACATTAAAATAGCTCTTTTCTCGTTTCAACAGGATACTGTAAGTGAAGACTTGCTTTCTGATTTTTCCTAGAAGTTATACAAATGAAACAGCACAACTGTTCTGACCAGTTAAAACAAATAGGTAATCCACAGAAATACAACCACTTGTGTTACAAACAAGGAAGTGTAACCTGTGAACAAAGCAACATTCTGTTGTATCACATCAGCTGAATCAAAGAGATCTTAAGAGAGTTTAAATTTGGGGTTAGAACTAAGAGTCAGACTTCCAAACTGATTTTATCTTTTTCAAGTGAAATTTTGGAGTGAAATCTGCAGTGAAATTTTAACATTTCAAATAACTTTAAACATTTTTTTGTAGAGATTGTTTCAAAAATCTGAGGTATTCTATGCATGTGTTTCTTTAACACCTGAATTACCTGTAATACACCTGACCCCAGGAAGACTGGCTAGATGGAAAGAGGCTTGATTTGAGATAAAGCATTTTTCCACTTCTGAGTAGAAAGCCCTGTCATGCTCTCCCAGGACATAGTGCTCAATTAATATCCAGTTCTCACTGGATATTAAAAGAGGCAAAGATTTCCGGATGCCTTAAATTTTGGCTTTTATATATTTCAGATTCTGTGCTGCTTTAGTGTGTAGCTCTGAGCTTCATATTAAGTGATGGTAAGATCTCTTCACAAGTAGTTAGATAATACAATTCCTTCTCTAACTGGGGACCAAGGATAGCCTATACAAGTTTCAGGCCCAAGAGCATAAACAATGTGGACTAAAGAGAGAAAACAAGAAGGATGGGACTTTGTCACTACAGGACACGTGAAGGCACGACGCGAGCTGCTGTTACTGCAAAGGTGAAAAAGAGGAGGTTTATTTTCTGACTCCAGCATTTATATTTTTCCAAAGGTGACAGTGGATTGGAGGGTGAATGTGCCACCTCTCCAAAGACATTGGACAAACTACTAGTAACTCAAGTTTCTCTGCCTCTATGGAGGAATGCAAAGCAATAGGTTGTTTACAGAAAGTTGTGTAAGAAAGTTCTCTACAAGAATGTAAATTCAGAAGGATTTAGAAAATCTTAAGAATCAGGGCAACAGGACTTCATAACCTGAAGTTATAATTGGACAATTAACTCCAACATGCTAACATCCCAAACCTTAGACAAGTGTGAGACCTTGTGAGCGGTTGTCCATTTTGTGACCATTTTGGTTTACCTTGGGTGCAGCCCTGGCTGGGCTCTTGAGCTGCCCAAGGTGGATCCATTTAATAAAAACCTACTTTATTCTTTAGCTCTGTCTAGGGTCTGTTCTATGTCAGCCTTCTCAAGGCATCATTGCTAGCAGGATCACGTTACAGATGACATCCACTGTATTCCAGGGAAAAGCAAGGACACATAAGACCCCCAGGCAGTACCTCACCTGATGAGATCCAGGGGCTGCTCTTTGTAGAAGCGCAGGAAGCGGGCCCACTCCATGTAGAGCGTGTACCGCTCGCTGTCACAGTTCGGGTCACTCGCCTTCTTCCAGTACTGGCACTGAGAGCAAAGCACAACAAGGGAACACACCTCAGCCCCACGTACTGCATCCAAAGAGACAAACAGGAGTGGTGCTACACCCCTCTTAAGACTGTGGTGTTGGTCATTGTCAGGTATCTCAACTGTCAAATACTATGAAAAATTTGGAACTTTGTTGCTGTCGCTGTTGAGGCAGGGATGGGAATGAAGGGACTCCATCTTCAGAGGGCAAAGAATGATCTTTATTCAAAAGTACCTCTCTCTTTTATAGAGAACGTGAATATTAATTCCATTGGTCTTAAAGTAAAAACATTTCACCTGATTGGTGCGCTGGACTTAGGTCAGTGTGGCAGAACTTATCTATAAACAATATGGACAGAAAGCAAGATAACAGATTGTTTATATCCCTCTCTAAGGACTTCTTCCCAGGCTTTTCTCTTAGAGAAATCTTTCTCTTTCTCTCTCTGACTGAACTGAGAATATCCACAAACACTTTCCTACAAATTACACAGTGTAAAATAACCACAGTTTCTGACAGCTTTTGCATTTTTATCTTGTGCCCCAGAACTCCACTTCTAGAAATATTTGGCTGTGTCGATTATTCATTTTGTGATCATGGTTTTCCTTTTTTCCGAATGTCTCTCAATCACAAAGAAAAGCATGAAAAATGGTTTCTAAATAGGAAGCAACCAATAGAAGTTCAAGTAACCTAAAGTTTGCATTTTGAAAATATTCTGAAAGATTAAATAATTATTTTTAGACAAAGATTTTTGAGTCTGTCTCTCAAGTTTTAGAATATTTTCATAAGATTTGTTAGCATTTAAAGTAGGTTGTAGTTGTATAGAAGAGATTCTTACTTTTTACTGCCTGTGGTTTTGGTAATCCCAACAGTACAAAGAACCTCCCAGCCTACACTAGCATTCTAGATCCTAATCAGCCAAACTTTCCTCCTGAAAACCTAAGGAACATCCATATGCTAATTTTTTTTTTCTAAGGAAAATAAAACATTTTCAAACATTTAAAAATATAAATCTATATACAATATTTAATAATGTCTTATGGTAGAATTCAGAGATATAAATAAGCAACTTAAGTTCACTAAAGCATAGTGACATCTGAAATAACCTTGAAAAACACAGAATTTTAAGATTTAAGTAAAAAATTAATCACAATTTAGGAGGAAAAAATTTTAAAGCTAAAAACCCACGTAAAACACTGTAACCCATCTCTCTCTTGTTTTCTCCATGGAGTTTCAGGACTAAATCCACACATATCATATTAAAAACTGACCTTACAGCAAAGCCAAACATAGTATTTACTATCCTTACCACATTAGCAGTATTCAGTATTTGCACCCAAAGGTCACTGGGAGATGGACAAGTCACCATCCCACACTGAAGTGGCAGGGTTCAGGCAACTTATCTGACTTCAGTCCCAAAACTGTGTGATGCCAAGAGTTTTTCTGTAACTGCAGGTAGTGTGCAGTACTGTGTAACTATAGCATGTGTGTGTGCACACCCTATGCACACACATTGATGAAGGTATTCATCTACAGTAGAGATTAATTCCTTGTTATAATCTAAGGTACTACTGTGTGGTCCGTGCAATCAACATTACAGCAACATCATGGAGTAAGTCTCTAAAGAAATGATGTGACTGACACATATTCTAAAAACTCATCCATAGGAAGAAACATTTCAGCACATAAAAGCCAAATAGTAGGACTGACAGGTATGTCTTGTGTTATAAAACAGAATCAATTACTGGGACAAATTGAAAGGTTTGTGTATATTTTCATATCTCCTGGAACAGCAAATGTCACAGTAGGTAAAAGAGTGCAAACACTGGGAAATGCTCAAGGGAGCAAAAAGCTGAAATACTTACATCATGAAGAGGATATGCAGCTGTATAGGTGCCATTGTTTAGCAGTCTCTTAATCCCAAATTTTTTCTTCCCTTCTTCTGTTCCATATGGGCAACGTGTAAGAATATAATTAACCTGAGATACAAGAATGAGAATTTCAGACCTTTCCTATTCTAAGGCCATTTAATAGAAATCTATAATAGATGTGAACTGTGTATAATCTGCAAGAACAACATGCAAGAGTAAAAGGTATTTCTTCAGAAGGCCTTATCTCATACAAGAATACTGGGGGCACAGATGCCTTGTAGACATCCAGAAGATCGGTTCCAACAATTATTCTGTATTTCTAAGAAAGATGCACAGGTACCCAGGCCTCTCTGTACCTCAGTTACCATGGTTTCTATACTCACTCCTGTAAATCTACATGTAACCAAAAGCAGCCAGATTCACATACGTACTATTCTGTTTCTCATGGAAGGTGAGAAGAAAGTGCTCTCATCATTGATGAGGTACAGCTCCTGCTTGTCCTTGCTGAACGGTGCCGTGAAATAATCCGGCTCAGGGTGCATCACCTTCTCAGGCAGCCTCAGTGGGAAAAGCACACAGTCCAGGGGGTTCTCCACCATGGGGGGAATGTCATTTTCCCTGATGGGAACTTTAATGTTCAGTACTTCTGCATATGTGATCAGAACCTCCCATGGCGCATGGATCTTCACAAAAAAAATCTTTCCATCTTCAGATTCCTGCTCCAGAAAAGTTAAATCAGACATTTGACCAAACTGTGTTTTATTGCAAGATTTATGGGAATATATTTCATATAAAAGGTATTGTCTTTTACGTATTTTTAAGGGATTTAAAAATCAAGTAGGAGGGAATAGAAGGACCTTCTGTGTGTGTGTATATATATATATTTACTGAAAACCTTATCTGAGTGGTTGGCTGTTCATAACAATAACCTTTGCACTCCTATAAGCTCACAAAGGCTTTTCAAACTATATTCATCTCATACACTGAAGCATGAAAAATTCTAATTACACTAGAAACACATAGAATAATCTTGTCATAAACTTCATGTAACATGCATGTTCTTCTAGTGCTGCTCTGCATTCACAGTAGAAGCTGGCAATCAGAAGGGTTTTTAATATTGCTCAGTGAATTCCCAGCCTATGGATGTTACAGTCTGAACTTCATCAAGGGTTATTTTACTCAACTCAGCCTCTGGCATGCTGACTCCATCAATCAAAATCACAGGTCTCCGGTTATTACTGCAAACAGTACCACTAATCAAACACCCTCAAGGTTACAGGGTCCTTCCTTATACTTACAACATCCAGTGGGCACAACTAATCCATTCTCTGCCTTCCAAACTTGTTATCATTGTTAGGTTGGATTAAAATCAGCTGTAAGCAGACTTCCCATTTATGTGGCTATAAACCAAATTACAGCTATTTTGCATTCTTGTTATGAAAGCAAAAACCAAAGCTTCCTCTTGAATCAAAATTATTCTGCTTCGACAATTCTTATCAATGTATCAGGAAAAAGCACTCAAATTAACCTTGTTTCCCCTAAATTAGTCACACTGCACTGAAATCCACTAGTATAATTTATAATTTTTCTCAGAGAAAGTGTTTTATTAATTTCCAGGTCCTATTATTTTTGGTCCTATTTTTTTCTTCTTTTTTACCTTCTTGTCTTCTGTTTCTAGCTCCAAACCAGCCTTTTGCAGGTTGCTCTCAAATTCTTTTCTCCTTTCCTGAAGAGAAACAAAGACATTTCAGTACCTGATGAAGTTAGCAACTAATTGATCACTCAATGACTCACTGGGTTTCACTTCTCTCAGCTGCCCTGATGACAACCCCTTAAGGCTATGTGACCTTCTCAAAGCAAGCTGACAAAAACCAGCCCATACACAGAGGCCACTTGCTAGTGAGGGCCAGCTTTGTGGTGGGAGCCCACCAGGAACTGCACTGACTGGCCACAGGGCACCCACTGGGTAGGAAAAGGCTTTTTCTGGCCTTTCTGGGTCATCAGAGAAGCAACTGAGCACTTCTGACTTCAGGGGGCTGGTGTGTGGGGTGTGTTCGAGTTTAGCTGTATTTCCAAGAGAAAGATGGAAAGAAAAATTCTGGAAGCTTACAGTTTCTGAGTGCTTACAGCTTCATCCATTTACCTCATCTATTTATTTTGTATATTTAGTTACACGATTATGCCTGATACAGACATTCAAGTACTGATTACAGGCAATTCAAACAGTATTTCACAAACATCACTGATAAGAACCAACAAATCACTGCATGTGCTTAGCTTGCATAAAGTAAGCATGGACTTCATGCAGAGATAACAAACCTGCCCACGGCTGTGTGTGGTGGCTGCATGACTTGTGTGAGCTTGATATTCTTGAACTCTTTTTTTTTGCGAAGTAATTCCTAAGTTGTGTCTTTAGGTAAGAACATTTTCCTCCTCTCCCTCTCTGTATAATTTTTGCTCTTATTGAGAGACTGTATTAATTTCCTCTTAATTATACAAAATTTGCTGAACTGCCAGAATAACAATAAATTAAGCCAACTATTAAGCCCTACTCTCTTTAAAATGAACAAGCTAGACCTCAAATTTATTTCTAGCTAAACTCTGCCATGCTGTCTAATATGTCTACTATTGAAAAGTCTTAAAATATAGCTTTCAAACATCTTAAAAAACCCCAAAACATGATAGTTTTCACCCAGTTTTCTTTTCCTGCATGTCAGTGAGGACTGCCATTTCTACATTTCAGTTTGCATAACCTACTCAGGCAAATGAGTGCAAACTGAAGAATAGCTTTCCAAGCCCTCAGATGTTTTCCTGTGTTAGTGGCCACCCATTTTTATGTCACATCTGATTTTGCCAAGTATTACTAGACACTGGACTATATAAACTTATGAATATGATTAACTCCTGAGTTCTAGCACATGCTGGGGGCAAAAGCAATTCCATGCACTATTTTTCCTACAAACCTGCCTAAATGCAACTGTATAAACATGTCAGAAAACTCTGGTTTGCTGACATGATAATCAGATAGAGAACACCACAACTAAAAGGTGATTTAAGAATGTATGTTAAGATGCTATAGAAAGGTCATTTAAGAATCTATGTTAAGATGCTACAGAAAAGCTGACATTCAAGCATAATACCCAAAGCTAAATGCTACTCTATATCACTTTTTCTCCTAACAAAGCAGACTGGTGTGCATTCTTTCTCCAGCAGACACTGGAAGAGAGCCAAGCAAGTCAGGTCAGAGGCTTCTGCCACCAGACAGCAGCCAGCTTCTCTCCAGCTGTGCAGCTCCAGCACAGACAGAGCCAAAGGGTCTGGCACCATCTTACTTATCTTTCCTTGCAATACACTTAGTGTGACCAACTGCAGTGCTCTAATAGAAATTATGCTCTTTTTACTACCTTGCTTTTCTCCAATAAGCCCCCTCCTGAAACCTATGAAATGTACTATACTTTCCAGTTAATGGGAAAAATATTTTTAAAATGAAATCAATCTGCTGGGAAAAAAAAAATCCTCTCCCTTTTCTTGTCAAATACTGGATTTCTTCATGTCACCACCAAAAGCTTAAAATGAACAAAACCCATCCTTGGACCAGAGCTGGTTGTTTTTAATGTGTACTTACAATTTTAAGCTTACTGCTCCAAACCTAATAAACTATCCCTGGTACCTATATTTCTGACTCTGCTTTAGATGCCAATCTGCAAAGAGGCACGAGGGAAGCTCTGTAAGTCATCATATCCAGCATATTATGTGGCTATCTCACATAATGTGGGATAAGCACAGACTAACTTTATCATCTAACATGTGCTGGGCTGTAATGAACCATCTCACTAAGATTAAAGTCCAAAGTCCAGCAGTACTATTATGCCCAGCAATACTATTATAAACACTGCATAATCAGGTACCTAGGGAAGAGAGATAACTTCTCTAAAACCCAATTGTGATAACAATGCTGTTACAACAATGGGTAACAGTGCAGGTCCAACTCTGGTGGGTCCAGTCTGACTCAGCATAATCTGTGATTCTTTAACTCTATGAATTACTGGTCCTGCACAAGATGCTCCAAGAGGCACACTGTGTGCCTAAAAGTGTTGTGTAAATGCATCTTGAACTCTGTCAGGCTTGGTGCTGTGACCACTGTCCTAGAGAGCCTGTTCCAGTGCCCCTGGGTAAAAAAACTTTAGTTTCTAATACCCGACCTAAACCTCCCCTGACTCAGCTTCTTGCCATTCCTTTGAGTCCTGTCACTCACTGGTCTTTGCTTCCAGTCAACATAATAGTGGAGTTACTTTGCACAGTCCTAATGCTCCGTAGCTCTTGTGAAGAAATAGACTTATGGACAATAAGGAGTATGTTGTGGTCATACATCAATACTTTGTTAGATATTTTTATAAATTCTATTTATTTTTTTATGTTCATATGGTGGTGAAACACTTCCACATGCGCTAGAGGCTTTAAGGAATAATATTGTCTCAAAAAATTGTAATCCTAATTTTTATTCAGAGACCATTGTGGTTTGGATCTATTCATGTAGCTTATAGCTGAAGGCAAGTTCAAAACAGCATTCCAGTTGAAGTTGGAATGTATCTGGGAATATCAAAAAAGTTAAAAGTTTTTCTGCATGAAGCTAAGAGAGAAGATGAAAACTCTGTCTCTTACATCTGTATTAGGGATATGCTGAAACACAAAGAAGTTATTTATCCCATTCTTAGAAATGCAGAATAAAATTCCTAGTCTCTCATCCTTGAGACTAGGAAACAAAACCCTTTGTCACAACTGTTCTCCTCATATAAACACTTCTATTCTTAGCTGTTCCATTTCACTGCATCATTGTACTGCCATAAAACAAACATTTCTTTCTATGACAACTGTACAATAGCAAGTACAGTGTATACCAGACAAACTCCAGAGTTCATCAATATTTAAATCTTGTTACCACAAAGACAATAGCACAGCACTTGTATGCTAAGAAGTCTGCACTAATTTATGGACATACTAATTGCATAAAGGTCTATGGTGAACATAATTGTAGGGCATATGCAACATGAAAACTGTGCAAAAAAATTGGTATCTCCATGACTGTTTGTCCAGTGACCACAGAGTTTATCTACATGGCCCCTGACATCCCTCCATGAGGCCATAAACTGTTTTGCAAGGAACAGACATACACAGAAATAAATATCACAAGACTTAATGTGGATGCTTAGGCCTTCTGAAAGACAGAGATATTCTCCTAGGAAGAGCATTTTTATGTCAAAGAGGAAGGACAATATTAGCTACTAACACTTGGGCTTTTTCCCATGTGAGTCCTTCAGTCAATAATGACACTCAAGGACACAGACTCTGGTCTGGCAAAGATTCCTACTACCCCCTAATGAGAAGGGGGCAATAAACCAGTGAGAAGGAAACTGCTGCACACACCATGAGTGAGTGCCTGGACTGATCATCTGACTCATCTTCCTTCCCACCCAAAACATAACCTAAATAGTATTCACTTCTCCCCTCATTTTAAATAATTCAAATATGACTAATGGAAAAGTTTAAGAGCTGCTTTGACAAGTTTTGTATGGGTGTCTTTCTTCTCCCTCCATTGAGTGGCCTTCTCTTCCTTTTTGAAATGCATTTTGCTTCAGGGGAGAAGAAAGCATCTAGCTAGGACTACAGCCTGACAAAGAGTCAGGGTGAGTTTGAAAATGTATGCTTGTATATAAACCTATGGTACCATAGTTATCAAATAACCCAAGAAAATCTTTAGAATGTGGCTAGCTGAGCAAAGCTGACTGAGATGCTTAATCTGGGAAAAGCATCAAACAGTGACATGACAAATATTTGGATTTTTTAACATAATAAGAGTAGGATAGTGGGGCTGTGTTCTATGCTGGATTGTATTTGGATGCAAGGACAGGCAGCAGAAGTTCTTAATGAAAACAGTATTTTCTTCATAAAAGTATGAAAGCAATATGCAATTTTTTTAACAGCCTAATCTTTCAGTATTTTTCCAAAGGAAATTTGAATTTTTAATTAGGAAATACTTCAGTATTACAAGATAAAGATTTTAACTGTTCTTTGTTTCAAAGACCAATAGTTTTGATCATGATTTTGTCATAAGCATTGGTGTAAGTAGTTTTTTTCAGATATCCTTATCTTTCAGAAACATATGATTACTTGAGAATGTAATTTTTAGTGTCTCTCTCCTTTTTAAATTTTTTTAACATGAATAAACTTTTGAATTATATATTAGAGAGACTAGTTTGTAAATGTAACCTTTCTTGACTCTGAAAGAAGGTAGCAAATACAGAGAAAAAACAAATTTAAATCCTTATTTTTTTTAATATTGTGCTTTATATAAAATTTGTCATCTTGACTGCCTTTCATTATACTGGATTTTTTATATAACTTGAATTTATGTTAGGCAAGTGAGACCTCATGTGTCAGTGTGAGCATGTAACAAACAGTTGTCATTAACTGATTCCATCTGACTGTTATTACCATTCAGGCAACTGGGTCTTGCTGGCAAGTTCAAGGATAATCACTAAGTGGCATTTTAGAGAAAGTTTGATTTTGTGCTCTGTTACATAGGAGAGCTCTTATCAAAGCTACTTTAAATACTCTTCTAGAAGAATGAACACACATATGTAGACAGTGGGTCAAACACAGGGAAAAGCTCCAGGAGAACATGTTGTGTTTGTGTTACTCAGAGTATATTTTAAGAAAAGAGTCTCAAAAGTATTAAACGAAAACTGCATTAAGTCTTGGAGCTAAGAATCTATTTCTCCTCTAACTATAGCCAAAGGGTATGAAAAATTAGTCATTGTTAAATCTCGTTTGGATGAAGTCTGCATATTTAGAAGAACAGTCCTCCTTCATTTGAAAGTGCTTACAGGTGCAAGTATTTACAGATATTTCTCCAAAGTCTTAGCTGGACAGTTAAATGAAGAAGCAAAATAATTTGGATTACTTTGCTCCATTGTATAATATATTGCTCAGCATAAGTAATGAAGAGTGATCAATTCAATAAACATAGACACAAGAATCTAATAAAATGGATCCTGACAAACAACAGTAAATTACACAGAAATGTTCATATATGGAATAGCTATAGATTTTTTAGGCAAATTCTATTCCATATGAGTCTAGTGATCTGAAAGATTTAGTAACTGATAGTCATCTTATTACAAATAAAAATTAAGAAGACTTCAAAAAGAAAAACTTACCAACTTTTTTTCCCATTCCTTATTAAGATCATCCACATAGGAGAGAACAAAATCAATTCTCCTGACACCATCCCTGAAGAAAATAGAATCTTTGCTTTGATGTCTTTTATCAATCTGTAGAAGATACAGGCATATGAATATAAAAAAACAAGCACTGCTGTTTCTCTAAAATACCACAAAAGGCAAAGAAGTTCCCCCACATTGCCACAGTTCTTCAGCTTTACAGATGAAGATATATCTGGGCAAGTTTTACCAAGGAATACATCTAGTTTAAGTGATTTCAAAATTAACTGCATATATCCACAAGCATTACAAGTAAATAACTGGTACAGAAAAAAAATATATATGTTAGTGTAGCAATACTTGTGAATACTTGAAGCAGGTAGCAAAATGTAAATTCCATGCATTTTTCTCTACATAACAAGATTCACTAAATCAATCACCACAGAGACATATGTCCCAGCAATGACCACACAAATATAGCTCACAAAAATACAGGGGGGATGTTTCAACATTGAGTATTTACTTTCATGGGGAAAAATACACCTAATAAAAGATATCAATGTAACAGTGTAATTAGTATTCCAATTGATCTATTAAAGGTCATATTTTAATTTACCAACATGCCAGAATGTCCTAATAACAACATCCACCTTTTTCACTAGTAGGCCAGAGTAATTAATGTTAGGCAAATAAAAGCCTGTAACCCCACTCTCCTAGGGAAGTTATATCATTAGGTAATATTGTTTGTTATCATATCAATATTCAGCTCTATCAAATCACATACAAGACACAGCAAAGTGGTTTCCATGGGAGTGAATATTCTAGTTTAAATGTAACTCTGTGCTGAGAAAGGTTGTTGTTACTTTTTCAACCACACATATCAGCCAAAGTGTATTTGCATAGGGCTGAATTGGGGTTTTATTTTATTAGAGTAGGAACAAAGCAGAGTACTATGTCTCTGTCTTTTCCCTCTCATGCCATGCAAGGATGCATGTGCTCCCTGAGAAAGCACAGGATATTTATTTGTAACTGTGACCCTTGCTCCCAGTTAACAAAAGGCAGCACACAGTGAAGCATGTTATTTCTGCAGCATCCAAGCCACTTGCATGATCACTGCTTTACCCTGAGCCGTCGCTTCAGGAACAGATTATACTTCCTTCCACTCTGCTGGAATAACCAACAAGGAGTCAGCAGGCCCACTGCTCCTCCCCAAGAGCCAACAATACACCCCAACCACAGTGAGCAAGAAATCCATGTCCTTTAAAGCCAGGAAAAGCCTCCAAACATCAGAAAAACACAAGCATCCACAAATAATATGATTATCATGTCTTTTTTAGTAAAGGCAAAGCTGGGCTGGAATCCGTTTGGGCAGCAAAAATGTTTTAAGACAATGACTTATTATAGAATACTACTTGCTATCATTTGGGTACTTCAGCAGATTTTAAAAATAGTAAAAAAGTGGTTTTGAGTGTAGAGCAAAGGTACCAAAGCACTGGCTCATGCATAGTGCATGCATGTTTCTGTAATGCTCATGTTTGGTGGGACCAACTGGGACATAAAACGACAAATAGCAATCATTCCAGAGCTGACAAAACTACAAGCAATAATATCCACATAATTCACGTATTTATCTTTAAATAGGCTAAATTAAATAAAAATAATTGAAAATCCTGCTGGTGCACAACTTTATGCATCTCCATTAGACGCACTAGTAACTGCTGAAATTAGACACTTGAAGCAGCCATCCATTAACGAGAACTCCTGTGTTCTGATCCTAGCCCTTGGGGAGGTACAAAACACTGCTGCAAATCAATGCAGCACAAAAAAAACTAAAGGAGATTATTTCCTGAAAATGCTGCCATCCGTTCTTTGCCCTTCCTCTTCAGCAAATCTGTTAAGGTTTTTTGTTGTTGATCTTCTTGAGAAATAGTTACAGCAGATCAATTAGACTACTTCATATGGCTGAAATCAGGACAGCTACCTCAGAAATGCTTTTGCTTCCAAATGCAGCACATCATCTTCCATTATTAAATGGTTCACAAAAATCATGGAATCCAAGAGCAGAAAAGAAAAGGCATTTTTCTACTATATTTTGTACTTAGAGATATAGGTCTTTCTTAGCAAATATAATTGCGACTACATGCAAACTGCAAGTTCAGATTCTAAGTTAATGAAGTTAAAACAGTGCATAGAACCAATGCCAACATCTATATAAAATCAACAGTTCTGTGATTATTCAGCATTACAGTAAGTAAACCCCAAACTTACAATGTTAGCAATTGTCCCAATCCCTGATTAAAAAAAGACAGTGACTTCACAAGCACAGAAATTGTTCTAGTGCACTAAATTCGTATACACAAAGAATTAAAATTATAATCAATATTTACTTAAAAAAAGCTCCTGCCAAAAGAGCACCCCAAATTGTTTGGGTTGCATAGTTACAATTAGATTATTCAATACAATTGAAGAAGTATTTTATCTTTACTGCCATCAAAATTTGGGCATTTTCTAGGATGTATCAGAATCCTCAGTAATTTAAGGTCTGACTATCAATTTAAGAAGATGCAGTAGTCATTGTTGGATCTGCTTTTAGAAGGGTTATACTTATCATTTCTTTCTCCTTCTGGAGATTATCCTTTGAGACACAGGATTATTCATTGTGGATAGTGACAGGCCTGCTTATTAACCCATAAATTATTCCTTTCCATTTTGCTGCATTTGGATTTCACAAGGAGAACAAGCTCAGTCTTGCACATTCACACAGGTTTGTGCATACATGTGTGCCTACAAATTTAATGTATGCAAAAAGTTTGTAATTTGCATTGATTCTATCAGTGAATCATTAAACATTTGTACATCTTATTTCTTAACAGCTCTTTCCAGAATGGAATAAATGCAATTAGTGATCCTCAACAACCTGTAGTCATTAAATGAAGGTACACCTCATCACAGAAAATATTATGAAATGTTTTTTGCCTATAATACAAGTAACCAAATTAAAGCTTCCCAACACAGTACAGATAGCAAGTTGAAGCTTTTTACTAATTAAGTTACGCCCAATGAGGAACTACAGAAGAGATGGAGCCTTGAGGCATATGGTGAAAACTCAAGAAGCAGCAACCACAAGTTATAACAGGAGAAATTCCTACTGGAGGAGAAGCTGTGGTTGAGTGGGAATGGGTACAACAGAGTGTACTGCAAAATCTCCATCCTCAGAGATAACACAGCCTGATTATCCTAGGCCAGGACTGATCTGCACTGACTGTGCAACCTGATCTACGTTTGAAGCCAGCACAGCCTTGAGTAGGGGGCCAGCCATCCAGAGGTCCTTCCAATCCAAGTTCACATCCAGAGGTCCTTCCAATCCAAGTTCACTCTAGGATTCTATGCAATCACATTACTGCAGACATTCAGCATTTACCAAGGCTTTCAAAATGTTGAATAAATCTATCAACTACAAAGCAAGTTACAAAACCCACCTGTTCCAAACACAAATAACGTCTTCCTGTTATCCTGTAATAGCTTTCCAGACTCATTAGCCTAGTTATCTCTCTAAGAACTGTGACCACTCAGCTTGTGGACATGTGCTAATTGAAAGCTATAATGGTCTATCATGAAGAGATAAACTTTCTTTTCATGTGGCGTAAGTGCAAACTAACAGGATTCATACTGTATTATATCGATAGTTATAGTTATTCTATATTTGATGATTTCTCTGTAGACACCCAGCAGAGGCTGGGCTATTGGACCACATCCAACCACACAACCCTCCAAGTACCCAGGCTTGCAATACTCACCTCAGACACAGTCCCAAGCCCTGCAGTAGGAAACCCTGGCTCAAAGGACAGGTGACAGGAGAGGGCAAGATGGCAGCAAGGAAACAAAGCACAGCTCAAGGTGAAGAGCCCATGGTCCGTTCTGCCCAGACTGGCTCGGGCACGGTGTGTAAATGCTGGCTGGCAACCAGATCCACCCCGACTTGCCATTCCGTGCTGCTGAGGAGTCCTTGGCCCCCTCCACAGGTGCCTCTGAGACACTTCTCCATGCCAAGGCAAACAGTGGGCACAGGGAGCTGGGGAGGGAAGCCCTGCTGGAAGTGGCAGTAACCACCACTGGCACAGAGAGAGCTCTGGAGGAACGACTGCGGCTGAAGCTGAGCCTGCTCAGCATCTCCGTGCCTCACCTGGCACACTGACAGTGACCCAAAACACAAATATGCTTTGCGGATTATACCTGAATTATTTACTCCTGTATGTTTTTATGGGACTGTGAGGGACTTCTATTTCTGGTTATCCACCCAACAGGAAATGTAGCCTTTCAGGTCACTTACACAGCTCTCAGCTTGGCAGGAGCTTCCTCCAAATACACTCTGCTAATAAATATCCCAGCCCTCTCCATGTCCACACCTCAACTTGTCCTAGAGCAATACTTTTCAGATTATTAGTCAGTCAGAACACTGCAAGTTCTTTATGTTCAGAAACACCGTTCCCAAATCCAGTGCCTCACACCTCAAGGTTTCCCAAGTGTCCAACCCCACAGAGCAGGGACTGCAGGTTTGCAGGTTGACTGAGCACCCTTTTCCCTTCTGCTTTTTGTATCTTGTATTTTTTTTTTTTTGTGGGAAGGTGGTTTAGAGCAGCATTTTCAGTAACCAAGCAGAGATGGAGGAACCCATTAGCTTCATTAATTACAGCAGAGGGAAACACTTCGGGCTGTGACTAACAAGAAAGACTATATGTTACATTAATACCATGAAATGGTTTTTATGATCCTCCATCGGCATACCATTCAATTAGTTTATCATAGTCATACATTACCAGGCAAAAAAATCTACCTGAAACTACAACATTAAACTGATTTATAACATTTTGCTGGCTTAAAAGATACAGTCTGCAAACACAATATTTATTTTATTAACTGGATACCTTTGATAATCACACAGCAAATTAAACGTAAAACAGACACTATAAAAACCCCAAGGAACTACATTAAAATGCAACTAGGTAATTTATGAATTAGCAATCTACAGCAGGAAAGCTTTCCGAATACAAAAATGGACAAAAATATAAGGTTTGAAAGCTGAATCAAAATACAAGAAATGTCTCCATAACTGAAAGGGTAGGAAACATTAAATAGCTTAAAAACAAAGTTATCACCTTCACTTAGATCTCCAGTTTACATGGGATATTTCTATACTCCTCCTTTTCACTGAATTAAAACATGCTACAGGAAAACCACATGGATTTAAGTGCTGCTACACTAAATATAAATATATATATTTATAACTTACACATAACTTTATAAATATATATCTAAATAATATAAATGTTCCTGGAAATACATTTACAGAACACACACAAATATGCAGGTAACTCCTGAAAAGCAAAATGGCATATTTCTTTTCCCACTTTACCAGAGACCCTTTCCATGAAGTTCTCATCATTATTCTTCCTTGAAGGAATCTATGCAACTGAAGAGCTTACTCACTTTGAAGACATGTATTAACAACACTCTTAACACCACCCATCCCAGTTTCCAGTTTTACTTCATGCAGGCTATAAGGTTGCACACAAAACTATAACCTTTCCCATTCCAAGAAACACAAAATCCCATGTATTTCTTGTAGCTGAAACTTGCAAGCTGCTTTTTTCACCTTCACTCTGTTTCAATTCTGAACCACATTAAAATCTGAAAGCTTGAAAACATGCATTTCAAAGCAGTTTAAGACACCAAGATATTTGCACTGAAATATAAATGCACATAAAAAGCCTCTCAGGATAAAAGAATACATTAAACAAGAACAGAACCAAGAAAAATAAAAAGTAAGCTAGGAGAGCATACATGTTAATGGAAGACACCAGAGCCCAAAGTGAGCAAGCAGACAGTTTTAATACACCTCAGCATGTACTTCTTCAGTTATTTTAAATTACTCTTTAACTTTTTCTCAAAAAACAATAATGATTATTTTAAGTTTTGTGATATATTTGAGAATTTATATAGTTATCTTGTCTGTGAATTTCAGTAAGTGACTATCCTGAGCCTTTCCTTATTATTTACTACAATCAAAAAAAAGAGGCAACATATTTCAAATGATGTCAGTGTTTGTTTCTTGCTCTTTAAAACATTTTAAAGTATCATGCTGACTCACAGAACCCTCAGGCCATCATGATAAAAAGGAATCCCACACTGTTAATAACACCAGAGTCAGAATACATCCCATATCCCATCAAACCAAAACAATGATAAAAAAGCAAACTTTCCAGTTTTCTCCACCAATCTCAACTTTTCAATTTTTTCCATTATCCTTTTGATTTATTTGAATTTATCTCTTAAGTCATCTCTAGGAATAAATGCAAAACCATGTTCATTTTTATCAACTAGAAAAAATTGGTTTTAGAAGGATGGCATCCTTGAAACTGGAAAATTTTCTGGTGAGGGACGTTTTGGCATACTGTAATAGGAGACGCCACACAAATTCATGCAAGGAAGCATGAATACTTCTTACTGCTTACCACTTGATGCTCAGGGATGAGTAAAGTAGTCTCAGTGCTGTTTAGGCCCTGCCAGTGGCATCACGGGAAAAACAACGTCGTTAGCGATGATGCAAAGGCTAATTCAGATTTAAAAGTAAAGGCTAATTCAGAAGAAACAGTGTAGTTCCTGCTGTAAGCTGCTGAAAAGCTCTTCTGAGTGATACTTGTATTTTCAGTCGAGATAGAGCTTACACAAACCTCTATTCTGCAGAGCAGGTTGGTCTCTAGCCTACAGTACCAACTTTTACATGGTCCATACTGATTTTTAAGCAGTAATAATTACAACTTTTGCTAAGAGTTAAACAGTATTTCTCATAATTTCCTTTAGAAGAAATACAGTCTAAACAAGTTGGTACAGATTTATAAACTGGTGAAGGACAACTGTTAATAGTATTCTTATTTCTTTTGATCCCAAAGAGAGAAAATGTACACAGCATAGATGACTGGGCATTTGGAAAAAAATGTGCTGCTCCTTACCTGGCTATTTTTTAACTACAAACTGCAATTATACAGTGTACACTGAAGGGAAACAAATGCAGTGAGACGAATCCTTAAACTCACAGTGCAGACAAGGTAAATTGGTACCAGTAATTGCAGTTATACCTAATGAGATCAGCGAGGGCTTCCCAGCTTCCAGTTCTGATCCACACCCAGCGAGGCCCTGCCCTAATTTTAATTGTACAAAATCTGGGTGCTGTTTTCCTGTAAGTCAGTGTGGAGGCTGCTACAACAGCCTCAGGGCAGGATCCACACAGGAATGACAGACAGAACACCCAGAGCAGATCCTCTGCTGAGCACAGCCATCCTGCACACACGGCCAGCAGCTCTCTGGCTCCTGCCACCCCTGTGGCCTTGCAGCAGCGATGGGTTTTGAGATCAGGTGCTGCTATTGGAATCCATATCCAATTTCTCCATATCCAATTCTGTTAGCCAGTATCTTACCACACTTTTGTCTTGCTTTTGTGTGCTTTGAATACAAACCACAGATTTAAAAAGTGCAACCAAACAGTGCAAGTCCATTATGAAAACGCAATAGCTCCCAGTGGAATTAAATTAACTTTCAATAGAAGAATACTAACAGAATTTTATTATTACTGTATCATTTACTGGTTTAGAGATGTAAAATTTCAGAAAGTTTATTACCCCAAATCCAATTTTCATAAATTACTGTTTTATCATTTTTTAAATAATACTTTTCACTTTTAATACAGTTTTTCTTGAGAGAAATCACTGAGGTCCATTCCTGTCCTGGTTACACATCAAGTAATAAATGCACACATCTTTACATTCTTTTTGAATGATGCCATGTCTGGATATTTGCTTATCTAAATAAGTCAGAAATATCCTCTTCAGAATGCAGTAAAATAAACAGATCAATCTGTTTTTTGGCAAGGGATCCCCCTGAGAAATAGTGCAAATATAAATAGCTGCACTGTGCTCTTACCATAAGGTAGTCTGAACTGGGTTTAAAGGTCCAATCCTCCTGTCACTGATCCTACTGGAAAAACCTGCACTTGAGTAAAGAACTAAGGGCTGAGACACTTAAGTAGGAAGTTCTTCTCCAATTATACACCATAAATACTTGCCATGGAAAGCACTGCACAAACTTGACACCGATGAAAGCACAGCCTTGCTTTTCAATGCTGCCCTACGGCTCCTGACCTCCCATTGCACACATTCCCCTCCAGCCACTCTGGTTCCCTTCCACCTGCTTTTATCCAGCTCTCCATCCCCTGCTCACCACCTCCTCCATGGCTGGATGGAATCCTGACCTCCCATTGCACACATTCCCCTCCAGCCACTCTGGTTCCCTTCCATCTGCTTTTATCCAGCTCTCCATCCCCTGCTCCTCCCACCCACTGCTCACCACCTCTAACCAGCATGGTTAGATGGAAATACAGGCTTTAGCCACCCTCTGGTCCTTACTGCCACACTGCTTCACTCAGAGACAGAATTTTACTACAGCTAGTGAAACACAAAGCTGGGAGGTGAAGACACAGCTGGCAAAGGCCTTTGTACTTTCCTGTGCATCCTGTTAAATGCTTTCCTGTTAGTCGTGGGATCTTACCCTGCTCCGTGTAACTGTCAGAAATTAATTAGCTCAAGTCATTAGGATTAACTATTTTTAAACTGGTGCTCATACCTTCTCCTGCACATTTCAAGCAGGAGGATAGGAACACACTGCTTTTTCATGATATGCCAAAGTCTGTGTACAGCACAAAGGAGCTCCAGCGTTGGTAACACATGACATGCAAAACAAGAATCAACTCAAATAATCCACCCAAATTTGCTGAGATGAAAACTGAGAAGGTTGGCAGTGTGGCAGCAGTGTTGAGCTGGTCCCTCTCACTCTGGAATCCACTCTCTTAAGTCTTTAATGCACTCTGGCTCTCCCCAAAAGAGCCCTCGTGTTTCTTTTAGACTTGGAAGAATTTTTTTACTTCTTTCTAGATTTTGAAACCAATTTGGTTATCTTTGCAACATTAACAATGGTATTTCATGTTTCTCTACTTGAAGATCCACAAGTCTGAATTGAAAAATGAACAAGTATGAGAAGTAATGTACAATGTGATGGTGTTTCTTCAGAAAAAGCACCTCAACCAATTAATTTGGAACACCTGCAGCACCTGCTGCTCTGAAAAATGACAACCTATGAGTCAAGTGGTAATTGTGGTAAAAATGCACTGCTTTAATAAATTTATCAATTTACTTCTGCTAACCTGGCTTAAATAAAGACAGCTTGTTCACAGATTTTCTCATTATCTAGTGACATTATGGAAAATCCTGATTAACAGGAATTTTTAATAAGTATTTTCTTGGTGTGAAATTAATGGAAAGGTAAAAATTTAATGTATAACTGTGCAAAATCAATTCAACTGTGCAAAATCTCTTTACAGGTAGAATAGGGCACAGTTCCTGCAATCTTACTCAGGCAGTAGTGCAATCTCCTGTCTTTTATGAGGCAGAGTCCACATGCATACCAAGAAAACATCTTACATTACTTTGTGCTTTTTAACTGGAATAACAAATAGCCCTCTGTATAGATGGACCTTTGCAGATGTTGATAAACTACAAACAGGGTGATTCAATTTTGCATAAAAGCTGTACTAATTTTACATTCATCGCACCTGAATGGCCTGAACTTTTACTATTAGAAAATGTAATACAAATTCAAATTTTTAACCTTTCCACCAATCTTGAAATAACTGAATGATCTTGTTTCCTCTTAGGCACAGGAACTCTATTTTGTCAGTGTATTTAGTCTTCATTTACTTAGTAACCTGAACTAATTACAATCCCTGAGCAGACACACCATCATGTATTTTTCTAGTGTGCTTCCTGCACAAATAGAAAGCACAGAGGGAAAAAAGTTTCTCAGGTTTTATTTCATTCATTTTCCAATTTGCTTGAAAGGATTTCAGAGGCATTGATGTATTTCTTGGAATAAGAACTCCATAAAGACTGATTCAGGTAGATTCTATGCAGGGATTCACTGAAGACAGTTGCCCATCCCTAACAGAAGTGGCTAAGTATTATTGATTTAACAAGGACAATTTGAAGCAGTCCCCATTGCAGCAATTATTTGAAAATACTCCCATTATATCCTTTTTTCTCCCCTTATCCAGTCTGCTGTTTGTGGAAAACATCTTGCCTCCCTGCATGACAAAGCATTTAGAAATTATTTATGCTGCAAGTCTTGGAATATGAAAAGCTGATGAAGTCCAAGTGATCTTATTTCTTTTGGTCCCATGGGAGATTCAAGAATAAGAAAAATGAGACTCAAGAAGAAGCAGTTTAAAAAAAAAATGGAAAAAATCCAAGGTGAAATAGGCAAGAATGCAAAATCATGAAGGACCAAATGCACCACTTATTGGTGCTCCAATGCTTTTTGAGTTCTGGACTTCATCCAACTTTTGCATATATGCTGGCAGGCTTAACTACAGACTGTTCTTCACTTTTTGCTTTACTTGCATCGTTCCTTATATCCAAATCACATATCCCTTTGCAGATTACAAAAGAAAGAAAGAAACAACCACTGAATTATGGGTGGGTAATGTTCCTGCTCTCCATATTAAAATCTAGATTTATTTTATCCCTCTTCTGTTGCTAAATCAACAATAAGGCCTTAGCTTTTTTCCTGTGCTGCTGAACAGAAGCTTACTGTTGCTGGATGTTATGTTTCTTCTCTTCTAAAATAAAAGACAGCCTAAGCATAATGAAGCAGTGACTGGAATGGAAGTTTGTTTCACTCTTTCCTAATGTTTTTTTAAATTAATTCCATTTCTGTTTTAAAATTACTTAACGTAGATTGGTTTAAGAATTCAAAATGTTCATATTTTTTAACTGCAGAAACATTATTAAGTGACAAGAAAATTACCAGCCTATCATAGAGGTAAAATTATTTAATAGGGAATTAAATAATTTTGCTACCTGTCAAGCCAAGAACAAAGCATATTGACCTGAGCTCAGAAGGGCCTTGGTGAAAGGAGGAGGAACCATGCTGGTATAGAAGGTTCTGCTGAATTCCTACAGAATGCATCAAGCATGTTAAAGGTAGCCTAGAAAATAACTGAGTGAAAAGAAATTCTTCCAGTTTAAACAGAAGACAACTGAAACTGTGACAACACATGAAGACAAAAGATTAACACTATATGAAAAAAAAAATCCCATAAATATGAGGGTCTATCTTACTATTGCAAATAATTAATAGAAGAACTTTTAAATATAGACTTAACCTGAATTCTAGGATATTAATCATCAAGAACTAAGCCTGTCATGACTGATAAGAGTGTGGGCAAGAAGATCAAGAGTAACTGTAACTTTATGTCTGGCTAATGCATGGAAAGCAAAAATGGGATAAATGACATGTTAAGGTTCATTGGGTAGGACAGGGCAAAGCACTGAAAAGTGCTAATTTAAATGTAAGCAAACATCAGATAAACACCTGATTTGCAGAAACAAACTAAGGCCAAACAAGCCGTCTAAGAGGGAACAATGAAAACAACAAAACAAAACCCCCAAGTTATCAACTACTTACTGATATTGCTAATATAACAATCACAATACTTTGTGACATTTAATAACAAAGTATAAAGAAAAATAATTATGTAAGGAAACATGTAAGCAGAGGATAAGAGAAAAGGCTGCATGAAGTTACCAAGGAGAGATTTTTGAGAGGATAACCACATAAATTTTTCCCAGACATGAATGTGCTGAAGATCAAAGCCTTCTCCTTTCCCACCCCATCATCAATTTTCCATCCTTCAAACAAGGTTGAAATCCCATTTCCCTACATATATGACACATGTTGCACTCTTTCTCCCATGCTTCCTGCCTTTTCACACGTCCTAAGTCAGGAATTGACTTTTTCCAAGCTTTGGTGAAATAGGTCATCTCCATCCACTCAGAGATTCTAGTAATTAGCTCAGGATCAGCTTAATCTTGGTATGATGGCCATTGTTCAGTGAAGCATTTGATATGGCCGTTCACCGAAAACTTTCCTGGAGAAAAAGATGCTTACAACTCCTACAACAGATTCAGAAGGGACTAGCATGAACATATGAACAAGTTTTAAAATGGAACTGGTAAATTTATTAAAACATTGGGATGATATGGCTGAATGTTCTAAGAAGACCAAGATCTGTGCAATCTAGGAAGCCCTTCTGAGTTCTTTGTGTGAACAACTCCAGATTTGGTCCTCAGAAGATGCTGAGGACATGTTTCACTTTTAAGAAACTCAGCAGAACAGCTGCAGTTTTTCAACACTCAATTCAACAGACATATTTTCTGATCAGTGCTCATGGCCAGTATGAGATGACAGAACAGCTGTTTCGTTTCCTATCTAAAACTTCCTGTCTTCCTCTAAGCATGTAACAACAATAAAGAAATCAGACAATAGGAATGAATATAAAATACCAATGTAAAGATGACATATTTTCAATATTCATTTTGAATCAGTTTCTCAACTGAATACTGGCCACACACTAATACCTCTTCAAGACATTGTGTACTGTACATATTAAGCAATGAAGCACTGAAAACATGTATAGCTGGTGATGCTTTCCATGTTGCACATAATGAGGTACTCTAGTTACTCAAATCTTAATTTGCTTTCTCATGACTCTTACTGCACTGTCACAAGGTTCCCAGAGCCATGTAACTCTAGTGTGCCTTGACTTCCCCAGCAAGCCAGCAATATGACACACAGCACAAAACAAACTACCTGGTTTGTGCAGGACCAGTGTGTTTTTCCAACTGTCAAAACATTTAAAGATCCTGTGATTCTCATTTCAAGACTGATACAGGGAACACCATTAAGCTCATACTGTTTTCTACCAGTGCTGTAGCACTAACACTGGTAAGTCTCTTCTGAGACTCAGTGAATGTCACGTCATATTCATGGCTTTGCTCTTTCAAAACAATACAGGAAGAAAGTTTTTACATGGATAAAAAGGAGGTACAAGACAATCTAATTAGATTTGAAAGCTAATTGTCTTTTTCACAACAACTATTCTTCCCTCTGACCAAGCAGTATGTTAACTAACACCATTCCTACTGCACCTTACCTCAGAGCTGCTTGGGATTTCTGATCCTGCAGTTGAAATAGTTTCAGGTCCATTGCATTCTTCCCCTAAGGAACATTGAAAAAGAGATTCACATAAATACATCCCTTTTAAAAAAATATTTTTGTTTCTGAATATGATGTGGACCTTGAAGGCATGGGACTATGAACAAGTAAAGGATGGAAAATAATACTCAAAATACATACAACTGCAAGAATGCTTGAGACAAAATGCTGCAAGACACAATATACTCAGTCTGTACTACCTTGGTGTAACCTTGCATTCACAGAAATGTATTTTTAACTGTGATAGAAAAAAAATCTGTTGTCATCACTTACCTTTCTTGTCTCAAATATCTACTAGGTCTAAGAGGCTTTCAACTCAGAGTTTTGCTGCCTTGGTTATGGACGTCAAATTACTTGTGGAAGTGTTTGCTAGAGATCAAATTAGGGTGTGGTTTTTCTGTGAAGGAGTCGATGCATAACCTCAAGATTACAAATGCCCATGTCATGGAGGCATGACAACAGGATCAAGAATAGTAAAATGAACTTTATTACTTAGCTTCTTGTTTAAAAAACAAACCCTAAAAATCTCAGGTCCAAAACAACAGCTGATAAAACAATCTAAACAAAAAAAACCAGCTTTTGTTTTAACAACAGTAGTGAACTCTAACATGACTTTCCCACAAATACAATCGTTTCACCAAAGACACTATTGGTGAAATGTTAATGCTAAAGGGAAAATCCTATTCAGTACCTTCATAATCTTAAATTGGATCAAAACACTGGCTGGGTTTGTGCCTCTGACTTTACACTGTCACCAGTTTCCTATGGAGAACAACTCTGAGCCCATAAGCTAGGCTCCTGCTCCAAGAAGGTTTTTGTAAGCAACCATCTCTGCTGATTAGGCAGACCAGTCTCTTCAATCAGGCATCTATATCACTCCACCAGAAAAGGATAAGCAGTTTTGAAAACAGCTGATCAAAATCTAGACTGTGTCTAGAGATACCATTGTCTCTTTCTTTCAGAAAAGAGGATTCATCTTCTTTCTCCATTAAGGAAGCACTGCTGAGTAGCTTAGACTGGACAGATTTACACTGGACCACTGCCAAGACAACTATAGTTACATTATTTCTGCCAATAAAACGAGCCTACTTTTCTTTTTGTAATCTGCAAATATTTGATGTGAAAATTGCATCCAGGCAGGATATAAAGTCGTTCTTCAAAAATATATAATAAGCTACTTAAGTACACCTTGAGAGCATTTTGTTTCCTACAATTTTTCTCCTTCAAAGTTCACTTACAGAAAATGGTCTCTGTAATTTTTAGCTATACATATGGTATGATGAGAAACCAAGCAATGGTATGTAAAATACAACAAATAAGTTTCTGAATGCCAAGACAGTTAACACTGTTGCATGCTATTCTGCTAAGGCAAACTATACCTGGAAAATTTGTATTAGTAGAGACAATCTGAACACCAGGGAGAATGGGAGCATCCCTACCACGCTCTGCTACCTGTGCTGTCTAAAGCCCTGGGAGGCAGGTGCTACTGCAGACTTGGCCAAAAGTATCAGCCCAGGGCCCAGGAGCAGAAACACAGATGTTTTGTCACACAACTCTCCTATTCCAGGCCAGAAACTGTCTGGTCCCTGCAGCAGGAACATTCCATTTTCTATACTGCTTGGTGAACTTGAACAGATTCAATGGCCTATGACAGCCTTGGAGTGGGGGAGGGCAGCCATTCTGAATTTTATCCTCTCTGTAATTGTGAAAGTCCAACCTGAGAACAAATAAAATTGAGAGTTCCACATTTTAAATGCCTTCCCAGTACCACAGCTGATTACTTATGCAACTTGTGGAAGGAAATCCTCTTGGTATCTCTGCTCCACCAGAATAAACCTGAATAACCCTAGGGCAGCACACGAGAAAGTAAAAAGAGAACTCAAGACATATATTAACTGAAAAGTACAACATACTGAGTATGTCCACTCCTTGTAAAACATGTAATCAGATTCCTGAACACAGGCAGCACAAGCAATGCACACCCAAACCACACAGGAAGGTGTAAAGAGGCCTCATCCCAGAACTGCACCAAGCACCACGAATGTAAATGCACAGCTAGGTCTCAAGCAGGAGAGCTGCCAACAGATAGCCAACAACTGACTTGCAAATCACATTGCAAAAGACCTGGCTCACATGTGATACCAATGACTCACATTAACTGAAGTCTGATTTGCAATAGGCTCCAAGCAGAAAAAAAACCAGAAAAATGGATAGAGGAAACAGAAGAAGGGAGAAAGGTAAAACACGGGTTAGTACAATACCTTCTGAATGTGATGGCTTGAACTTGGTGAGAATCGCAATGTCATCTTTGAAAGGAAAAAACACTTCAGTAAGAACCAGAAGTAAAATTCACTTCAGCATGAACCCATTTCATCATTCTTCTCTATCCTTTACAATACAGCCACTCTACAAAGCAAAAGAATAAGCCCTGGACACCAGAGACTGCAACTTAGACAGAAAGCATGGCACTGGCTCCTCTTGGAACACCAACATTCACCTTTTTGTCCAGGCTTTATTCAGCAACACAAACAAGGATGCCACTTTTCCTTATCAGCTGCGGGGAGGACCATAACAGTTTCTACTAGTCAAGAAAAGGCTTTTGAAATTCTTCATTAAATTACTGCTTCATATCTAAAGATGGGAGTAAAACAATAATATTCTGATAAAATTCCCTATTTAAGGGTATGCCCTCATTCTTCAACACTACATGCTTTTAGGTATATAAACAGATCTAAAAATATCTGCACGCCAAGAACAACAAACAAGGACACTTACTAAATGAAGTGGCCCTTTATTATAAAATTTGTATAAATAGCAGAAACTCTTTGAAATGTTTTTTGTTCAAAACTAACTCCAGTTCAACTCCATGACTATTAAACCTCACTAAATTATTTCAGAAATGTGTAATTTTATTATTTGTTCAAATCACTGTTGTTCATGGGAGTGCATGTATCCTACCTGAAAGAAATGCCTCTTTCCCAGTGTAACTGGTGTCTTCAGCACAGCTATTATGTGTAACTCCTTAAACACATCTGCCTTGGCAGTGTGCACGTTACTGTAAATAAATAACCTTCCTATGGCCTATAATTCTGCAATATAAGGCAACATATGCTGTCCCAAACTACACCCAGCTGCAGGGCAACCTACTTGGAAACTTTTGGTATGCCACCCTAAGAATTACAGACCACTTCTACTTCAATTACAGACCCGAATGACAAGAACAACAGTAGCCCACAACACAAATGAACATTTGGTACTGAAGACTGAAGAAAATAATCAAGGTTGATTTAATTTCTTAAAATATAAGTAGTTTATTCACAAAACAGGTCCTTTCATTACTGTAATCTTATGATTTATGTAACAAGCATAAAAATAGCTCCCTGTGCAATTAAATAATCAGAAATTCTACAATACTTCAAATTTGTTCACAGTGCCAGAATCACTTCTTTTTTCTTCATGCCAAAACTGATGAGTTAGGAAAAAGTAAAAGTACATGTGTTCAGTGCTATTGCAAAAAAGTAAGGATGGTATTGTAAGTCAAGGCCTCCCACAGACTCTGTTTTCTGATAGTAGCTGCAGCTAGGCAAGCAGCACCAGAAAAGGAACTGCACTTTCTGTGGGAGGAATGCAACCTGTCACAGGTCACATCCTGGCCACAACAGCAGTGCCTCGACTAGGCAAGTAAAAGCCCTAGGACAGACCTAACCACAGGACTTCTTACTCAACTATTGGTGCACTTGGAAGAATGGTTTTTCAGCTTTGAAGAACGTTTTCAGCTTCCAGCACTCTCCTAGCTGGAGAAGAAGCACGCTCTGGAGGATACAGGAGTCTGGTCACCAGAAGAGTATTACAGAGAAATATGCCTTGCTAGGGAGAGAAGGGATTTTAGCCATGCAGGTGTGGCTGGACTGTGCTACTCATCTTCAAAAGCCAATGAAAAAATCCTTGGCTGTTATAATAACTAGCACAGTCCCAGCCACGGATGCTCCAGCCCCTTTAACTGCATCTCACCCACAATTTCGCTGGAAGATGACAATCCTTTTACTTCAGCACCCTCAGTAAGTCCAAGTCTGCTGGGAGGTGGCAAAGAAAAAAGCTTGGCTGATGATGCTGCACTTGAGGTACAGCTGTGCATGGTGCAGCTGGTGTGCAGATGCTGCTGTCTGGCACAGTTCAGAGCAACTCTGCATCAGAAAACACAGCAAGAGAAGGCTTTTAAGCTTCCCTTTCTTCAAACTTCTATAATCCTGATTCATCTGCACCAAGTAGAGTTCTTGACAGGTTGTTCATACCACTAAAAACATTTGCATATGTAAATGGTGCCTCAAAAATCAGGTGGCAGATGAATAGACATTTTTAGGGATCAAAATTTGTTTTGTTACTAAAACTAGAAAATCATTTGCATTTGCACATTTAAGACCTGTGATACAGCTATTCCACAGGAAAAACCACAGACAGGATTCTCATGCAGGTGTTTAGCAGCAGCAAGACAGTATTATTATTGATTCTGCTATTTCAGTATTGTTTCCAAAATTCTGCTTTCAATTATTTCCACAATTTTCAGAGACACAATAACAGCATCCTTTTCAGCCAGAAAAACCAAGCAAGGAGCTCTCAGACCATTGACACTGTTCTACACATGTCTGACACATTGGCATGTTAGTTTATACACATGCCTATCCCTAGAGCAAAATTTTGATGGTCCAGGTAAAATGAAAACAAACAGATAAACCAACAAAAATCCTAAGAAATCCTGAAAGTTACACTGCAGTTGTTATGAAGTAGCTACTTTGTACTATGAAGAAAATTCCCAATATTCATCTTTAGCATGCTATGAAAGAAAACATTATGCCTAGATGTTTTGAAGTTACTATCTTGATAAACCCCCTGACATTATTCAATGACCAGGCCTGGCCAGCAGGAAAGAAAAATGAGTTGCTTCCTCCAAGTAAGCATCATAATGACTATTTCAAGTGCTTTCATATATAAGGAAAGCAGCTTTAAAATGACTTATCAACTAAACTTAGGCACATACTGATCACATCCTCCACAGCTGGATGGAGCTGCCACTGGGAACTGGAAACCCACTGAGCTGACTTGTAAGAAAGCAAGATAAGGTTGCTACTCCAGCTGGTATTGTCTGAAGAGTAAAACTGCTGCTGAGCTAAAGGTTCAATCCTAAAATGATGACTGAAGTGGTGATGCATGCACCCACAGAGATGCTTCTAAAAATTTAAAACTATTTAACAATGAAAATATTCTCAGTGAAGCCAAGAAAATCTATTGTGAGTATTTTAAAAGAATCTTGTTAGTTCCTTAAGAGAAGAAGATTGCATTCAAGTGTAGGCTGCTTCACTGACATAGTAATTTTCTTCATGTGTTTTATTATTAGACAAGTACTTCCAGAGAAGACGTAATTATCAACACATCAGAAGTAAAAGAACTTTACATAGGCATCAATATTTGGAAATCTGTTCCTAATAGTAATGAAATCTCATTTAGCATTTGGAAAAAACACGTGGTTCTAGTCCTAATCTCAAGTATAGTAACTGGGTATTTTAAATCAAAATGGGATGTTTACCTTCAGCTGCCTCCCTTTTAAAGAACCACAAAACCACCTCCCCTTTTGATTAAAAGCCACTGGGATAGCAAAAAAGGGAATACATTCAATAAAAAGTGAAGTTGTGAAAATCTGTTTTTAGCAAAACACCCACAAACATAGTGTTGTAACAGAGAACTTGAATGGCATTTTAATGCAGTTCAGGTAATAATCATCACCATATTTTATGTACCAGCACAGGCAGGACTCAAAGCATGCTGTGAGCATTCAGACCTCCCAGGTATCATTGTTCTGCAGAATGACACATAAACTGATTAACAGGTTCAAATGCAGTTAAAAAAGAAAGCCCAGAGTAGGAATAGATTGATTAAGTCAGGTATTTTTAAAGTGCACAGCATTTACATGCATGCAAGTATGAGGGACTAGAATGCCAAACAAATCTCAGCAGAACAGGATGGTAGAAACACCAGACTGCAGGAGTTCTGACAAAGCATGAGCACTAGGGCTGTGCTTGCTTGCCTTTAAGAGTATTTATATATTCAGGGCTGGATTTATCAGCACTGTCTGACTGCAGAGGCAATAAACAGCTCCAGCAATGGCCTTGCACACACATGGAAGTGCCAGGTGCTCCTGCCTCTCCCTCAAGCTACAATGGAGAAAGAGGAACTGCGGGAATGTTTTTCACCACGGCCCAATGGAAGCACTTCAACAAGTGTTAGGCACAGACTTGCTTTTCCAGTGTGCCCAGAGACACAATGATCACTTCACAGCACCACTCATTAATGCATTTCTCCAACTTCCACTGAAATCACTGATACAAACCCTTAGGCAACAGTCTCCAATTTCTTTCCATGTTTGCAGTACACAAGCATCCAAAACTAGTGGAGGGCCCAATGAACTATTCATTCTGTGCACACACATTACATTCCTACCCTTGTATGACAGATCTTCTATAGATGTTGTAAATGAAAAGGGATACATAAACTAGGAAATGAATTATGTAAATATAGCAATATGTATTTTTTAAAAAATCACCTCAAGTTTACTGTCCTCTGGTGGTATTCCTCAATTTCATGTTAGCCAGACATTTAATTTGGCAAATTTAAATGGCAAATTTTTGCTCCTTCTGCTTCGTTATGCTCTACCTCACTCAGTACTTTTCTGGTTATGCTTCCAATGAAATGCATCATTGTAAATTTTGCTACTGTATTCACCAAGTATTTCATTTTCTCACATTACACAACATGAAAATATACCAGTACAGGAAGACATTTTATAAACAAATGGCAGATTTGCAAGACTTAGAAGAATCTGCATTTTTGTCCAAATTACTTTAAAAATTATGGAATTCCTATACTGATCCCAAAGAGAAACTGCTCCTATCAATCAAGAAAATCAGGGCAATGGGCCATGGCTTCCATTGCCTAAACTTTTTGTATGTAAGCACCAGTCAATTAACAGAACTAAAGTAGTCAAAGTGGTTTGCAGAACCAAGTGGCCTGAAATCCACATCTGCTAACCATTACTTGTTGGCATGGTATATTTCTAGCACACTATAAATTGTGCAAACATAGACTTTCTGATTTCCTACCCAACAGTTAAGACAACCCCTTTGAATAACAAACCACAGGGCCCTTTCTAATTTAGGGCTAGTACAGCAATGAAAGGACAACCATCTGCATCGTGAGCCCTACCCACACGGCTTGCTGGGGTTCTGCTAGCTTGCCAAAGGCCTCAAATTTCATA